TTTTTAAAATGAGTGACACAGGCTCAGAATAAGATAAACGACAGAACATAGTGGAGAAATAAAACTGTAAAAAAAACCCTGAAATTATGGGAGGTTTTCTGTAATCAGAACAGTATCAGTTACAGCTTGACTAAATGGACTGAGTACTTGTGTGGTATAACTCCAAATGTCTTAGCGGAATCGCTGTACCCGAGGGATGACGCCAGCTCCATGTCTTTTCAGAAACTATTTTCAGGAATGTTGGATTATTACAATCAGGAAATAGGGCTATGTAGAGTAAATCACCTTCAAATAGGTGTGAACATGTATGTGTGTGGTGTGTACAGTAGTAGGTAAAAGGAAGCTCTGAAAGATATCTACATTGTAATAAGGGAAGTGCCAGAGACACACAGGCTGCATTTTAAGAGGGTGACACACATGCTATGGAAGAGGGACAGAGAGAGAACCATGGGTTCAACAAAATCACAATGAAGGTTCCTGAATGCCTTAAAAATCGCTTTATTAGAGCTGATACTGTTTTGAAATTATTTTCCCATGCAGAGTTGTTGGGAGCAATTGGCTGAGACCTGTGGTATTTTAGAGAGCCCCCATAATGTTGATTTAGGGTAAATAATGCTCCACATTTTGTTCAATGACTCTGCTAGCATGTCTTTTCCTGCACTTGGTACAGGGACGGACTGGGTCACCTGTTAAATTTGTTCCATTTCTAACCTCTGCAGTTCTAGTCCCTGTGAAATTTAGTATCTTTCCCTGGTGTCACCAACATACACATTCAGATTGATTCAGCCAGTTCTGGAAAAGATGGGATTCTGCTAGACGATCAGCATTTCAGTATGTCGATGGAATTTTCATTTGTTTTTTCCTTCTCCACTCTCAGCAAGATAAATCCATACTCTTAATGCTACAGTTACTAAATTTAAAAATAAATGCAAGTAGCTAAAGCAAGGCAGCCTTTGGAGCAAATAGTTGTTCAGCTCCTTTGCATATTCCACCAACATTCAGTTCTGTATCTTTTATACATCTTAGGCTGTGTCTACACTGAGCACCTTACAATGGCGCAGCCGTGCCCCTACAGCCATTCTAAGGCACGCAGTGTAACCGCCCTTTGTCACCAGGAGTGACACCCCAGTGACTGAACCACTAAAAACCACCCCCAGTGAGGCGTGATAGCTGCAGTGGCAGGAAAGCGTCTCCCACTGATGAAGCGCTATCCACACCGGCGCTTTTTGGTCGTTAAAACTTTTGTCATTCGTGGGGGTGGGGGTTTCACACCCCGAGTGACAAAAGTTTTAACAACAGAAGTGCAGTGTGGACATAGCCTTGATTTTGGACGGTCATAATAATATGACATAGAAATGGTTATAGAGAGAGCAGCTTTCAGTGTGCTTGCGCAGCCATTTAGGAACAATCTACAGTTGTATCACTACGTACAGTCATAATCATAGATGTGCAAAATAATTTCACACCTGCAAGGAAAATGGACAAACCTTTTTGCTGTCTTATCTGGGAAACGGGTAGAATGAACCCAGAGAAGGAATGTAAGCTTCTCAATGCAGGAGCTCAAGGTTAAGTTCAAGTGCAACTTCCTGTGTGAGTTGGTCTCAAAAGTGATTGCCATGGTGACTAGTATTCACTGCTACCCAGAAAGGGAGGCCTTGGAGAGGGAAGTCAGGCAGACATCAAATGGAAAAAATGAAAAAAAAAATTGCTGAAATATTTTTTAAAAACCCACCAATCTGCTTTACACATGTCTTTGAGTTGATGTCTATTATAGAACATGACAAATTAGCTGTGGCACGATGCCAGAGTTTAGGATACTGCAGTGAGAAGCAGAACAATTCTGCTGACTCATGTTGGTTTATGCTAGAAGCCAGATGTGGGGGGGCTTATTCACTCCAATCCAGGCTGTAAAGGGTTTGTGTGCCCCTTTGAAGAGGGGCAGAGAGAACTTGCACCTGAGGCCAGAAAGGAGAAACCTCAAAACAAGCCAAGCTTGGGTTGAGACTGAAGCTTTATGATCATTTAACAAGAAAGGCAAATCCCAGGAAGTGGTAAACTTGGACAATAAGGACTTGTCTTCACTGCTCACTGGCTTTGTATTACAGCACTAAAACCAGCAGTGTAGAACTTGGGCTGAAATGCCACCTCCCTGCCAGCTCCTGCCTGAGGCTGAAGGTCTCCACAGCTGTTTTTAGCTCTGTAGTGCAAGCCCAAGTTGGTGGACCAAGGCTCCGAGACTGGCTGCTGCCGTTTTTAATACGCAGTGTAGACCTAGCCACTCAGGCTAGGCTAACTTGAGAGGAGTTACCTTGAGTGTAAATAATGCTGTAGCGAAGACATGTCCTTAGCAGTTCAGGTGCAAAACCTGTGTGTGGATATGTGCGCACTTGTGATGTGGAGAGAGCAGTGTGAGAACATTCCCTATTCACAAATCTTATTATGTTGCAGCAAATAGAAGGGACATTTGTATTGGTTGTTGAATTTCAAAAGATTTGGTGTTTCCATTGGATAAACATCCCAAAATGTAGATGTTTATCCAAACCCCTTGGATATAGAGCTCTTACACAAGCTTTCTCATGTGAGAAACTCAGGACTCTGTTTTAGTTTGGGCCAGAAGTACTTTGAGGACAGCTTTTTTCATGGCATTCTAACATTTCTGCCTCTGGTCCCAAGCAGAACCTGGAAGTAAAAAGGGCAAGTAAATAAAAATGAAATATAATGGAGGAAAAGTTAAGCAAACTTTTTTTGAACTTCAGAAAAGCTTTGATTGTGGAAAAAAGATCAGGGAGAGTGTCTGTAGTCCCTGATAATTTTCTCCCATCCCTATAAAGTAGTATTGTAGTGTGTGGGAGAGACAGGAAAAACACAAAGTTTGCCCAGGATACAGAAGAGGGGAAAAGGCATCAGTCCATTAAAGGAAGAGTTAAAAAATATCAAAACCTGCCATGTTAGCTCTGTAAAAGGCAAGAAGGGCAGCCAGTAGTAAGCCAGACCTAAAGAAGCACCACAGAGACAAATCTCACATTAGTGAGATTGGTGGCTGAGGAAAAGTTAATAGCATTCCAGCACTGAAAAAGCAAACTGGTTTCCCGCCTCATCAATGATTGAGAAGTGAAATAAGTCAGAAACACCACACCTGAGGGCTGGACTCATGCGAATTCTACTCCTAGTAGGAACACCAAGGAGGCAGAAAAGACAGAAGATTTTAAAAGCCACTAGGGCTGTTCATGCTATGAGAGCATTAAGTGGGAGCTGATGAAGATCCTGGGTGAAATGCTGGCCTGGTTGAAGGCAGTGTGAGTTTAGGAATTGCCTTCAATGGGACCAGGATTTCATCATTTGTGTATTGTTAAAATAGTTGAAAGTAAAGTGGGGTTTTTTTAAATGTGGCAGCAAGCATCACAAAGGGAAATAACCTAAACTCAGGCCCAGGAAACTTCTATAAGCAGGGGTAATAGAGAGGTACGGGCTGGTGTACCACTCTTATGTACTATAATATTTTGTTTAATGTCTCTAGTTTTTGGATTTTTCTGTGTGTCTTGGAAGCAGGACACCAGAACCCTCTGGAGCAAATTGTATGTGGTGAGGAAGACCTAAAATACAGTAGGAACTTTTTGGCAGGAGAGAGCCAGGACATGGGTATTTCACACAGCCCTGCACAACAGGGAGCTATTTCCCTGACTGCTTTTCCCATATGAATGTGGAGGGCGAAATGACCATGTTGGGTCTGTGGCTAGTGGATCCTCTCTGAAAAGGGTATATTTGTTTGGTCAAAACCCTGTGGGGGAAAAACATTGAGCCCCAACTCCTCTACGCTGCAGCAGGGGCTCTGACCTGGCTACATGCTGGATCTACTATTCTGGTTATTTCTGTTCCTTTAGAGTTGTTTCTGACCCCTGCTCTGAGTCCACTCTGCATTCCTGTGAGCTGATCTCTCTAGGAAATCTGTATGATTGTACCTGCTCATTCACTCATCAACTCATTCACTTTCCCACTGCCTCACTAGCCGACGTGGGGGGAAGCCTGTTGAAAAATGAGTCTTTCCATTGACTTCAGTGGGCTTTTGATCCAGTTCTAAGGGCCAGATTTTGAAAGGTAGGCAGGTGCCTAGTGTGTGGAAATCCCACTAGGCCCCTATGTGCATCTTTAGGAGCCTAAATATATATATTTTTAAGTATTTAGCCCGAAGACCCTATTTTCCTCAAGAGAACACAGAGACCCTGTGAGTTAGTGTCCAAATTCACTTCCTCTTGGTGATAAGTTTAGCTGGTACCTCAGAGCCCAATAGCACAACATACACTATGCTGCCTACAGTTTTCTAGTGAGCTTGGTAATTGTTAAAATATCAAATTCCCCCCAATATGTGTGTGAAATGTTGTTAAGAAATATATACGTTATATAATATGCCTACCAATCTAGTAAACATAATGCAATTTGCAGTTAATCCTTCACTTAGTTTTCTTGATTTATTATAAATTTACCCATGCTGTTGCATTTGAAACTGAATTTCATGTAATTTCATGGTTAGCTCCTGAAAGTTAATTTTCTAACCCATTTTAGCTTACAGTATCAAACTGTCATATATGATGTTTTCACTTTATAATGTACAATATTTATAATGTATTATTTCATTTTCAATATTCATGTGGTTAATCTGATCTGTGTGTTTTAAATCTCATTTCTTTGCAAAATGTGTGCATGTATTATGCAGTGTTTAAACATTTTTTTTAATGTAATGCTTATGAAAGTGAATGACTAAGTAGCAAGACCGTCTGCAAACGTCTCCTGTTTAGTCCTGGCTTTCAACACTCCTGAGGAGCAGAGGTTTCCTATTGTGCTAAATTGAATCACAGTGTCAAGTTCCTTTATTGTGTATTCCCTGTACTTCGCTCATACACCGTAGATTCTTGATGTGCTATAAAAATTAATGGAACTTAACCTTTATTTTAAATATTATACCACTTATTCAGGGGCCAATCTTGTTTGTGTTTTTTATTTAGCTTCATCATACACAACAAAGACACTTTCTTCAACAATGCTACAAGAAGTAGAATAGTACACCATATTTTACAGAGAGTGAAATATGAAGAAGGAAAAAACAAAATTGGTAAGTGCTCAACAAGGTGCCTTTTAATTTGGTGTAAAAATCAATAAAGCCTGGACATGCTCCTTATAGGTCAGCTTTGGTTTTTTACATCTCCTCACTGGGTACATAGCTCACACATTTCCAAGGTGGTCACTTTTTCTTGGTATGCCCAGTCATTTTGAAGACAAGGCAATGGAATGCTGGGCTGCTTTTCCATGAAAGGATATGGCTGACACCTCAGAAGACTATTTCCCTGTGCAGTAGGAAAGGCTGATATAAGGTAAACAAGAGACACACAAAGTATTGACTGATGACACTAAATAGACGTATTGTCCCATTGCAAAAGGAGAACTTGCAACTCTCCTTGGGTCAAAGTGTGGAGGTGCTTGGAGGGATGGGGAACTTATGCAGCCCTGAGTTTCAGACTCCAGCAATCCTGCATGAATCCCTGTTTCCCTCTCTTCACTCATGGAGGTCATGGAGGTTACTACAGCTCCCTGATTCCTTTCCATGGAGGGACAGGGAGACCAAGATTGAGTTCTCCACAAATTTCCTCTGCAAAAAATGGTGTCTTGACACAGGTGTGGGTTGGCTAGAGAGCTGTGTCTTCCTCCTCCTCCTCTTCTCTGTTTGCCATGCAGAAGAATGTTCTTCATTCTAGTGGGCCTTTGCACTGCTCCTGGCTGAGAGCTCCATGTCCGAATTGTCAGCTGGAGGAGCCTGGCTGCGGTAGCAAAACCCATTTAGTTTCCCCAGCTGACAACAAGCCAGGGAGGAACCTTTTTCCCCATGCTCCCAGAATTAGGGAAGCACCACACATGCTCAATGCGTCCCTGATGTCATCCTCAGCAGCATGGCTGGAGTCAGATTCCACCCCTGAGCAATGGGAAGAGTCAGGGGGCTGCATATTCCACATGCAGATAGCGCCTGGGCTGCTGTGTTCTCCTACTTGCCTCAGGATCCAAGTATCCATCCATCCATCCATGTGGCTCCCACCACTGTAGTATCAGAGTGTCTTCTGCATAGACTTCTGGACTGTAGGAGCCTAGCCAGGCTAAATAGCTCTGGTGGGCTTCACACAGTAGACACACCAAGAACCAAGATGTGGCCCATAGCAGACACTAATACTACCAGCAAAAATGATATTTATGATAAATTAATGCTTTTCATTGGACTATTCTTATAAGATTTCCTCAACTGATTAAGAATAGAATATGGAGTCTTTTGCCTCTAGCTCACTGATTTGAATATCCCCAAGTGAATACTGCACTGTCCAATAGCTGTTCAGTGGCCTTTGAGTAAATTTCCAAGTAAACAGTCATCTTCAGCACAGCTGGCACTAAGTACTTCTCTTGTGTTGTTAGTCTTGGCTGAGGGGCCAAAGCCTTAATGGACAGGGAGAATGAGCTATCCTTTGCCCCCCTACTAGTGGTCCCTTTGGGTCAGAGTTCAGGTATGTTGTTGGGCCTCACACTGCTACTACCTGTCTTGTGGCTGATCTGTCAGTAGATAGCTTCAGTCTCCAGGCCATCAATCCAACAGCTCTCAGAGCAATAAGTTAAACATGTAATAATGTTATTTTCATATGGAGATTAAGGCTTTTGGCTGTTTTGTTACACTACGATACAAAAATTCAAAGGTTTTGTCTGAAATTTGCAGAATGCCAAGAAATGTGGCATCTCGCCTAAATGAAGTTTCCAAATAGATCCCCACACAGACTTTAATATATGATTATTAGACCAAAATGTTTGGGGTAAAAGTCAACCTCTATTGACTTCACTGTGGCCCCCAAAGCTTTAAATTCAAAGCATAGTGAATTGTAGATTGTGAATAATATGATCAAGTACAGTAGCAAGTATCTGAATGTTGTATTCATCCTTCCCTTGTGTCCACCATAGTATGACAAACCTATGAAAGAAGTATTTTGTTACTTGTATCTTTCACTGAACTTCATTTACCAGTCTCATCATGAAAATGTGCTTTGCCCTCCTCATTTTACAGTTATTCAAACCCTGCTTGTAATTAAATTAATATTTTTGACTTTTAGGTCTGAATCGATTGCTTACTAATGGCTCCTATGAAGCTGCATTTCCTCTTCATGAGGTACTTTTCTAACATTTCTTGTTGGCTTTTAATTCAAGTTTAATACCAATGTCATCGGGCCTGAGTCTCCTCTTACTCTGGTTTTACACTATTGTATCCCCACTGGCTTCAGTGAAAAGTTACTCCTTATTTACACAGATGGTGTGAGCATTTTCTATGCTTTCTTTCATTTAATTCAGCTCATTAGAAAATGTTGATGGCTTTTCCTGAAAATTCTTGTGCTTCAGACTCACACACTGTCCCCCATTGGTGGCCATGAATAATGTTATAGTAACAATCATGTATTACAAAAATTCTCAAACATTTTCATGGTGTGGAACACATCCAAATACAGAGTGTGTCTGGGGGCACCACCTCCCTCCCGTTTACAATCACACAGATCATTCCTACTCCTTCACTTGCAATCAGAGCTCCCACTAGCAATCCCTGTGGCAACTACCACAATTTTTTGCATGGAAAAGCAATGTTAGGGATGTATTTAATGTGCATTTAACTCCTTTTAATGCTGTTTAGCAGCTAGAAACAAAGAGGAGCCAGTATCATGTCACCAGCTGGCTCGTCACAGTCTAACAAGCAACATTACTGGTTTTATGAATCACACTTTGACAGTTACTCATATATTGTATATTGAAGTCCAAAACTCTTTATCTGAAAGCTTGAAATCTTCTCCTTTTAAGCTAATAAAATCAATTAAAACAGAATTATGCAAAACATCATCTGTTGTATATTGGTTCTTACACTGCCCACATCACCGTGGCATCTGAGCACCTTTCAGTTGTGCATGAATCCTTTACTTTCTTCCGTATTTTTACACCCCTTGCTATCCCCACAACCTCCTCACTTGGAATAATTCCAGCATCAGTATCGTGTTAAACACATATCTCTCAAAGTGAGCAGCCTCCTTCAGAGCTGCAATTAGTACCACTTTGAGGATGGTTATTTCACACCACTAATTGATTATGCATTACAACACAGGTTTGAGGTAAGTGTGGCTTACCTTGTTGCGTTAATGGCAGAATACAGGTAATAGAACTCAGGATTCCCGATTCCCAGTCTTAGGGTATGTTTACACAACAACTGGAAGTCAGATTGCAGCTTAGGTAGGCATACCCATGCTAACTTTAATCTATGCCCACCTGAACTGCAATCACACTTCTCATTTCAGTATAAACATCTAATCACTAGACACACTGCATCTGCTGAGCATGCATCTCCCTTAAATGAAGATTTCATGGAGGGACCCATTTGTTCTTAACCTTTTGCATACTGCAATGCTCTTTTCTACATCAGGCCTGCCCTGGGAACCCCCTCCCATTTACCAATATGGAAGGACAGGGTGGTCATGACCACCTGACATCTGTTTGCAACCCGTGATCTGAACAATGCCAGTTACCAAATACAGGTCTAAGAAAAATCAACCTTTAAGACAAACAAATTCAACCAAGCCGATGCTAAATTTGTCTTTTTGTTTTCATGCAAGTATTTTGTATAAACTGTTCCATTAAAACACACCTCTAGTTCCAGAGATTTCTTGGCAACTATTATTCTTTGCTCAATATTTAAATCTGTATTTTAGGGAAGCTACCGAAGTAAAAATTCCATAAGAACCCATGGAGCAGAAAATCACAGACATCTGCTTTATGAGTGCTGGGCGTCATGGGGCGTGTGGTATAAATACCAGCCCTTGGATCTCGTACGGTAAAAGTTTTTATTTACTTTTAAAATGTTGCACTGTGTACTGGGATACAGAGTGGGATAAGATGGTAGGAAAGTCTAAACATGAAACATGAAGGGCTCAGTTAATTCCTCTGACAAATGAGCCTAAATTCTCACAGTATAAAAGTGTGGGGGCCATGGCCTCCCCAGCCCCCCAGGTCTGGTGTCCCTGGGCCCCGAGGGTGTGGGGAGCCTGAATGTTCTTTGTGCTCAGGGCCCCAATAAATCTTAATCGACCTCTGGCTACAAGGATCTATACATAAAATCTGTATTTAAAAGGTAGCAGCATCATTGAATATACTGATATGTTGGCAATTTGGGTGGGCCATTAAGAGCCTGCAATTGATAGAGTTAATTAGTTTTTCTTTTTTAAAGTACTGTAGTACTGTAACTGATAGGAGTCTTTTGCTTTGATTGTTTTTTTAATTGTTCTGAAATAGAAGGATTTGTAAAAGATTCCCAGGAAGCACTAGGAGTTATTCTTTAAGGCTCCATAAAGCTCATTTTTCTGCAACTTCATAAAATGGGAATTTGCTTTTTCTAGAGAAAAAAATACTCACAGAGGAATACAGTCATAGGGGTTTGCTTGAGTCATGTAGTTTTTTTAAAATGTGCTAGAAACCAAAGTGAAGCACGGTAATATATTTTTAGTTAGTACATCAACTGTTTAGATGTTATCATTTCTTTTTGAGCCCATTGGCCAAGTCTACACTAAGGAAATTTACAAAATAAATTATACTATTGATTCGGTGGTGAACCAGTAATTGCATTGAAGTAGTTTTGAGTTTGTTTTTTAAATTTCCCTAGTATAAGAGATTACATTAGTTTCGCAGTGTAGATTGTTTCTCTCTTTTTTGAAATATTTCTGGTAATTGTGTTTGAAGTAACCTGCAGACAGGGCTGTTGTTCTTTGGTAATAGTTTATATTTGTGATTGTGTCATGGAACAATCATCATCAGAAGGCATCATTAATTGGGAGTGTCACATCTGAGCTGTGAAGTTCAGATCCTGATCCAAGTTTCCCTAAAGTCTGAGGGAATTTGGATCCAGTGTTCTTTTTCGGTGTTTGTGTGTGCAAAATGGCTCATCGGGCATTTAAATGGCCATTTATGTACGGAAGTGTGGTAACTGGGTAAGCACACAATTGCACTTGGACCTTGGCACAGACTTCCTTTAGAAATCTAAGCATAGCATTTAAGGGCACTAACTCATTCAGTTTCTCTTCCCAGTCAGTGTCATCCAAAGATTATTCTGAAAGAAATGTCATCAGAGCAGTTTACACAACGAGTGTACAGGTGATTCAATGTACAGGGCTACATGAGCAGGAGGAGAACTAGTGACGGGTATGAGGCTTCCTGAGTATTCACAGGTGACTGAGTAAAGGAGACCTCAAACCCAGACTGACATTTTAAGTTACTGCCATATATCCTATTAGCTGTTGGCTTACAACAAACCCATTGCTGATTGTAGTGCAGGCACAGAAGGAAGGGTGGCAGGAAAGGAGTGGGCACCCTTTTCTGTCTCCCCTCTCAGCTGCTAAAACACTCCCATACACCCTTCCCTAACCCACACCAAAACATCCCTCCGTACCACCTCTCCTTCCTCACGTGCCACGTGCCCTGGTTTTCCACCTTGAACAGTTGACCACATTAGCAAAAACTGCTGTTCACCTCAGTTCTAACTGCGTGAACCTGTGTACCCAAAACAAAAGGGTTTATACTAGTTCTGCCATGAGTACTCGTTTCATAGCTTTCCCCAGCCACGGGTACTGTAGAAAACCTATGGAAAGCCCATGCCCAGAGGAAGTGGGAATTGAGGGTTAACTGTTACGTTCCTAATGGGCCAGCTTTCCAGTGCCCACCATTCCCAACCAATATTTGTGTTGTCAGACTCTTTAGAGAGGCCAAGGACTGAGTGAGCTATGGATAGTGAGTAACCTTCTCATTCATAGATATGATACTCTCAAGTCAGGTTAAAGACACATTGCCAGGGTGATAAGAGAAGCTGTTGCTTTTATGCTTGTTTTTTCTTGCCATTAAATGTAGTCTTAAATCTCCAGTGTGCTCAGTCTGGTACCTTCCATGGCCATTAACTTTACTTTAATCACACCAGTTAGCCAGTATGGAGATCTTAGTCACTAGAAATAAACTCGGAAACAGCATTTGAGGGGCATCACACAATTCGGTGTTCATTCCGCCTGGAAGCACCAGGGAGCATGAGAAGTACCGATCCTGCACAATTGCAAATGCGTTGTTGTTAATCAACAGCTGTGAAGGGGTCAGCTTACTCACATTGCTGCCTAAATTTAATTTCCATACTGTTGTTACAAGAATCATTCAAAATCATGAGAACTGAAAGTGATTAAAGGGGGACAATCTCTCTCTCTCTCTTCCCTTCCCTCAGTTCATTCACTTTGACCTTGCTCTGTTGAAGTGAATGAAAGCAGTCCCCATCGACTTCAGTGGGCTTTGGATCAGTCTCTCTGTGCACTTGCCAACGCTTTGTGCATAGTCTTTTTTTTCCCCTCTGCTAGACAGCCATAGCTGCATTAAGTTTGTTTATGTGGTATAATAAGTCCTGTATAGGATTTTGTACTGAACTGTCAAAGGATGAATGAATGAATGAATTAAATAAATTTTCTTGGCTCAGATCCAAATCTGTCTCTCTTCTAACTTCCTGAGTGCCTTCTAGGTATCCTGATCCCAAGCAATCATATAATTAAGCTTGATAAACTTAGAGAACCCCAATAATAAATTGTATAGTGCTAAAGCCAGACTTTGCTTATTCTTTTACAAGGCATTATCATTCTAAACACTAACAGGCTACAAAATCTGTGTGTTGTTGCTAAATATCTAGGGTGAAATCTTGGCCCCACTGAAAGTCCGTTGTGGTTCTGCCACTGACTTCAGTCAGGCTCAGTTTCACCTCTACATACAGGGGTCTTGGAAAGCTGATTTTCCTACTGGGATAAAGTTACGGTTGTGGCATGTTGTCTGTAGTGTTGTGGTTGTGCTAATAGTGATGTGTGGGTCTCTGGATAGAAGCAAGAGTATTGGCTATTTGATGACTTCACTTTTCATTTCCTTGCTTTTGAGGTTTTGCGTTAGGGAATGTTTTCAGTAGAGTGACCTTATCAGATACACAGAATGTTTGTTAGTATAATTACTAATGATCTGGAAAATGAGGTGAAACATGAGATGGCAAAATTTGCAGAAGATACAATGTTATTAGGGTGAATCAAAACAAGAGAAGGCTGAATAACTTTAGAGGGACCCACCAAAGCTACGTGAATGAGCAGCATGATGGTAGAGGAAAGTCAGTGTTGACAAATGCCTGGTAATGCACATTGAAAGGAATAATTTCAACTACCCATATACATTACTGAGTGCTAAATATACTGTAAGCGCTCAGATAAAAGACAACACTTTGGGCAGCTCAATGAAAATCTCTGGTCAACATATAGTGACAGTCAAAAATAGGAAACAATGCATAGCTAAGCTCATGCTTGGTGCAGCTGATGGGAAGAGAAAGGTAAATGTGGCTCTAAGCCACCTTTGTCTCCTGGGACTGACTAGAGTCCAAACCAGCCCCCAGTGTAAAGTAGAACAGACACAGAGCTGCTCTAACTGCTGCCAGCTGTAATGGTCCCCTAGGGATCATTCTGTTGGCCTGGGATAAATAGAGTACATTTCCATAGCGCTCATCACAATAGTATGTAAGCAGAGATTTAGCTGATATATTTGTAGAATGAAAATACTGAACTACTGATCATTGCATATGAAATATGGGCCTGATTCCAGTCTTACTCTCAATGCAGTACATGGAGTTGTCACAGTGTAAAACGTGAGTGTGACAAGAAAGATGCCACTTCTCGGTATGTAAATCAGTATATAGCAAAGCAATGGCAGTAAAGAGTGCTCTTTAAAAGATAAGTGTTCACAAGTGGCCTCAGTTATCTCCTTCCTACATTGCAGAAGTTTAGATTGTCAGTGGCAGCACCTATTCTTTTTGCCATTTAATGCACAAATTAAAACTGAGATCAGCCTTGGTATTAGAAGAAGCTGTTGACTTGATCTCTGGATCATAAGAGGAGCACTGCATTTTGCAACCAGCAGACACAAAGGGTTCAAATAGGGAAAAAAGTTGTTTGTCAGGAACGGTTTTCAGTTAAGGGGGCAGAAAGAGAGACCATCCGTGCTGGAGTGTGAAAAGCACCATAACACAAGAACGAGGAGGACTTGTGGCACTTTAGAGACTAACAAATTTATTTAAGCATAAGCTTTCATGGGCTAAAGCCCACTTCATCAGATGCATGCCTTGGAAAATACAGTAGGAATATATATATATATATATATATATAGAGAACATGAAAAAATGGGGGTTGTCATACCAACTCTAATGAGAGTAATTGATTAAGGTAGGCTATTATCAGCAGGAGAAATCTCATCTACGGGGGTCAGAGTTGCTGGGTGAGCTATGCCTTAAACCTCTTTTTGTCCCTCTCAAGTGCACCCTTCCGGTGAAACAGGCCTGGCTTCCTACACCTCACTCTGGGTGAAACCCCCATGCAGTTTAATCACTCTCAGCCTGGATCTCTGGGCTGCAACTACCCCACCCCCCTGTTTACCAACCATGTTAACACAACAGGCTCAACTGCATTTGGCACCTGTCATCCCTTTTTCTCAGGGAACCAGTGACTAATTAATGTGGCTCAAAAGCAGCTTCTTCACAACAAAGTTAGGACTTAATTGCAATAGGAAACACAGAATTTAGAAAAAGAGGTTATTGCAACAAAGAATCTTATCTATCCATAGCTCAGGTAGGTCCAGCATATTCCCATCTCTGGGTTGGGAATGACAGCCTCCTTGCTGCACTCCTTGTGGCACTCTGTCGCCGTGTGTCTCAGTCAGTTTGGGGTGCCAGATTCAGTCTGCTGACAACTCACTCAGCCCTCTCCTCTTTCCTGAGGCCAGCATCTTTAAGGTTTAGGAGCCCCTTTGATCCTTGGTTTTGGTCTGGGAAGAATACACCACAGCAGACTAGCTGGAGGCAGGCAGGGGATATCCCTAATGAATAGCTTCCCGATTGTTCCCCAAGGAGTCTTATCTTTGTCATGGTTTCATTTTCTGTTGGTTTCTCCCTTAACAGTCTCCTGTGACTTAACTCCTGGCAGTCAAGCAGATTAATATCGAACACCTAACCTGAGGAACATAAAAATACTATACGTAACTCCCTCATTTGCCATAGAAAACTGTCTTTAATACTTTGCTTCACTACTTTGAATTATATACATCGGTGAAAATAGGTGCTGATGCAAATAATCTCATAAAATGTAAATTATCTTTCTCAGTGGAGCAGACAGATTGTCAGCCAAAAAATTAGGCCACAGGGTTCACTCATGCAGCTAACTCATGCATCTGAAACTGATGTCAGTGTGTCTTTGTACAGCGAGACTTGCTACCCTTGTCAGAATTGACCATATTACTGTCATGTTTCTGTCTCTTTAGCCAGAAGAATTGTGAGCTCTGTTGAATGACAGAGGAATAAAAGCAATATGACAACATTGGCCTTTGGTACAGTGAAGCTGAGTTTGAATGATGATGATCAGTGTAGATCAGTCTTCACATTGCTTTAAAAATACAAAATATAATCTTAATTCAGACAGATGGATTGCTCAAGATGGAAACTCTTTGACATGCATTTTAAAATTGATGATTTCATTTATTCCAGGCCAAATGTTGCTCACTCTTTCTCTCTCCTCCACTGCCTCTCACCCGAGAAACAACATGCATGTTTTCTTCCTTAGTGTAAAAGACTGACCAAGAATGGTTTCAGGTAGTCTAAAGGCAACAACATTGGTTCGTTTCACTCTTTGACCCTGGCAGTCAGTTGCCTCAATAGGAGCATAACAAGTTGTGCTGATGTAAAATACATTTAAACTGACCTGACACCCCGCTGTGATTTGACCCTAAAGTTTCTGAAGCACAGGAGGATTATATTTCCTCATTCCTTAAAATGAAGCTGGAGAATGATCTTTTAAAGTATTCATGATTATTATTATGTATTGATTTATAAAGCATCGGACTTCATGGTCAAGGTGCGGTACGCTTTCAATCCATGTTGGAATTGTAAAATAAATTCTCTAGAGACTGGTAAGCGAAGTTCCAAACAGAAATATGAAAGCAAGGTAGAAGAATGCTCTCTGATTCATCAATTCTTCTTCGGGAGATTACACATATGCATTCCACTCTTGGTGTCAGTGCACCAGCACATGGCCATTGGGAACTTGTTCCCTCAGAGGTACTCATTGGCCGGTCCCCTGCTGCCGTGCATCACTGTGTGCAGGTATAAAGGGCAGAGCTGCACCTAGTCCTCCTCAATTCCTTCTTACCACCCGTTGTGGTCGTTGGAGCTCTGTACTATAGCAGACTCTGTGTGTGTGTGTAATTAGTCTATTTGTCAGTGTTAGGACAATAACTTTTAAATGCATGATATAAAAAAAAATTCAGACTTGTTGTTTTCCCCGTTATTGTTTATTCCATTCACAGTACCAAGGTATGTCCCAGTCACTGGATTTCAAGCCATGTGCCTTTTGCTCCAAACCTGTGCCAGTGAGTGACCTGCCCAATAGCTGCCTGAAGTGCTTAGGGGAAGCACACGTGAAGGACCGGTGACAGATTTGCAGGGAGTTCAAACCTAGGACAAAGAAGGATAGGGAGGCTAGGCTGAAATTCCTGTGATGGAGGCGGCGCTCAGGCCACCATCGGAGCCAACCCAGTATGACTCGGTGCGGAGTGCTGCAGCTTCAGTGAGCAGTGCCAGTGTTGTCTTCCCTGCACGTCGCCCCTCAGTACCATCCAAGGGGAAACCTGTTATGATGGCATCGCTCCATCCATCACCAGGCTCTCAGCACAGGTCCCTGGCACTGACTAGTCAGAGGAGGGGAATCCTCATTGTCAGACTTGGAGGTGGGATCTTACATATCACAACCCCACAGCAGCACCCGCTGGTCTCTGCACAGATCCTATCTTCCCATCTATCACCACGACCCTTCAATGGGACCTGCCTCAAGAATGTGGCTGGGACAACGGCACTCTGCCTCATATCGATGGCCATTCTGGAGTCCTTCGGCATTTCCCACAGCTTCCAGATCTTCCCCACACAGTGCCATACTCAGTGCCCTCACCTATCAGGGCTGAGTCCACTCACCGAGTGGCTCTGTCCCCAGAGTCTAGCACCAGGCTTGCAACAGGGTCAGTGTGTTCCTGTTACCTTTGGGGAATTTGCTGGTATCGAGGTGTTCTGGTACCATCCTTCCGGAATATGCTTGCATAAGTGCTCTGTGCCTAGCACTTCTCAGTGTAAAAAAATATGTGTTTTTGCAATATCAGCCCTGTGCTTGCCAAATTCTGTGAGCAGGGCCTGCCTCTTGCGCACAACCTGACTTTGCTTCATATCAGCAAAGTTTTGCTTTGGTTCAGGCCTCATAGCAGGCCTCTGATACAAGCCTTATGTCTCAGGCTCTCTTCCTACTACACCAGACACTTCCATAAATCCTCCCAGTTGTTCATAGCAGGGGTAGAAGAGTAAGAGGTCAGTCCCCCCCACCCCAAGAATTTATTCCTGGATTGCATTTTGCATACTCTTGAGCTATAAGTTGGCTAATGTCTAGGGTTGCTAGGCATCGGCTTTCAACCAGAATGCCTGGTCGAAAAGGGACCCTGGTGGCTCCCTGCCTGCCCTAGCTCTGCATGGCTCCCGGAAGCAGCCGCCAGGTCCCTGCAGCCCCTAGATTCATGGGTGACCAGGGAGGCTCCACACTCTGCCCCTGCACTGAGGACTGGCTCCGCATCTCCCATTGGCTGGGAACTGTGACCAATGGAAGCTGCAGGGGTGGCACCAGTAGGTGCAAGGAGCCTCCCTGGCCGCCCATTCATCTAGGAGCTGCAGGACCCTGGCAGCCACTTCCTGGGACCCACGATAAGTGCTGCCAGGACCTCAAACCCCCACCCACACCCAAACTCCTGCCCCAGCCCGATGAAAGTGAGTGAGGGTGGGGGAAGCGAGCGATGGAGGGACGGGGGATGGAGCGAGTGATGGCGGGGCCTTGGGGAAGGGACTGGGCACGGGTGCTCAGTTTTGTGCGATTAGAAAGTTGGCAACCCTACTAATGTCGCTCCATCCAACAGTATCACAGCTTATTCAACTCGGTCACAATTGGCCTCTGTGGCCTTTCTGGCAAGTGGCAATCTTGTTCTTGGTCCACATACTTGCTTCCTGCTATGCTGTGGCTCAAGACTCCAGAGATGATGCTAGAGTGGGATGAGTTGTTCTTCAGTCTTTCTTGAAATAGATTCCAATCCTGCCTCCTATGGCTTGTGAGTTATCAAGAGAGGAATGCACATGTGGAATCATTCAGTGACGAAAAAACAGTTACTAATCTGTTCTGTAACTGATGTCTTTGAGCACATGCCCATTCTACGACCTGCCCACCTGCCACTCCTCATCAGAGTTATGGCAAAAAGGAATTGAGGGGGGCTAGGGTTGGCTCTGCCCCTTCCTTATACCTGAACACAGTGGCATGCAGCAGCAGGGGGAGTTCGAGCTGCCCAACAGCTACCACTGAAGGGGAAAGTTTCCTGCAGCCATGCACTGGGCACACCAATACCAAGAATGGAATGGACATGTGCAACACTTCTTGAAGAACAACAGTTGTGGAACAGGCTAGTGACTGTTTTTCTTGGAAATGCTCTGGGGCTGATTCTCCTTTCCCTTGCACCAATTTTACACCAGTGTAACTACATCCCTTTCAACAGAGTTACTCCGGAAACACTCCTGTATAACTGAGAGCAGCACCTGGCCTTTTGTTTCCTGGACATACAGAACCAATTACCACATTTTCAAAAAAGTTCAACATCCAGCACTTCCGCCCTCGATGGGAATTGTTGACTGTGCAGCATTTTTGAAGAATAGGCAGGCGCCTAAGTATGGATTTAGGCTCCTGTTTTAGAAAATCTTAGCCCCAATTTCTCCCCTCAAATATGACTTAAATCTTCCTTTTCTGTTAGCAAACAATGCTAAATAAAACCTACAGAAGCTGGCAGGTAACTTTGCTCTGTTGTGTTTTAAACAGACGGTATTTTGGTGAGAAAATTGGCTTGTACTTTTCCTGGTTAGGCTGGTACACAGGAATGCTCTTCCCAGCTGCCTTCATTGGATTGTTTGTCTTTTTGTATGGAGTCACAACACTGAACCACTGCCAAGTCAGGTAAAGTGAGCACTTTTATTAGTGACGTTACCTGTATTTGTACACATTTGGGGTTGTTGTGTACAATTTGGTTCTGTTTTATTTCTTCTTTTAAAATTCACCATATGGTATCAAGTCTATAACACCCTATGTGTTTACATTGTTTTTAAGATTGTGCCCAGCTTTCACAAGGTAGTGGAGAACGTGCATCAAGTCTCCCTTGTGTTGTGCTCTGGCACATAGGCTGGATATCATCTGGTCCCCTGAGTGCATGGACTATGTAAAGCTAGGGGTGCTGCCCAAGCTAGCTTCTCACAGCGATGGGGAGATGGTGGAGCCATGGCTTTCTGACTGGCTGGCAGAGGGGAGAGGAAATGTCACACCCCAAGGAGAGTGTGCTTCCAAAGCTCCAGACGGCACTCTTCTGGCATTGTGCCACCTGGAGCTCCTCTGGGGGTGTTGCACCTCTACACTGCTTTCCACCCTGAGGCAGTGCCTGAAAGAGTCCTTTGAAATTAATGAAATTCCCTTTAATCTGTACTCACCATATTCCTATCTCCTTCTGTTAGAGACCTCTCTTGGCTCAGGGACAATTTAGAAATGGTAAAAGTGCTAATAACTCATCCTGTCAGCCACTGCAGGACTATTCTCTACGTGTTTTCTAGTCCTTTTTGATTTTGCTCTTTTTTTAAAAAAAACAAAAGGACATGCCATCTAAAGATTTCAAAGTGCCTGTGTTTTCTTGAGAAAGGCATGATTCATTTATGAAGTTGAGAAGACCTACACAATCATAGTGTATGTATCTCAAAGTGTTGAAGACAGCAAGAACATACTGACATCATTAACAGAAAGCACTAGAAATGTATGATAAGAGAAATTTAATTCACCTTCTGTGATTTCAGAGAAATATGTTGGTCCATTTTAAGAATGATAGTTGTGTATGAAAGTATCAACCATTATCTTCTCTCTTTTTCCAGTAAAGAAGTCTGCCAAGCTACAGATATTATAATGTGTCCAATATGTGATAAATACTGTCCCTTCATGAGGTTGTCAGACAGCTGTGTTTATGCCAAGGTACATTTAAACTATCCAAATAGAAAATGTTTATTCTTTCTCAGTATTTTGTGAATATCTTCAATAAACTTGGTTAAATAAAAAAAAGTTCCAAGTGACGGATCAAATTCATTTAACTTCACTTCAATGAACCCACTTTTACTATGATTGAATTTGGTCTTTAGAACTTATTTACACGTATATGCAATTGCACTTGATATATTCAGCAGTCACAAAAATTATGTCCTAGCACTTGGAACAGCACTTATGAACCATCTTTTGTGCATAGCTTCTCAAAACAAATTACCTTAGGCTGAAAGGATGAACTACACCAGAAGTTATAAATCTATACAAGAATAACTGTTCAGCTGATACGGGCCTTGACCCCGAGAGGTGCTGAGCACCTGTAACTCCCATGCTGAGCACTATTCAGGGTAAGGCCTTCAGAGAGGATGTTGGTCTTCAGGACAGTCAGTCTAGTGGCTCTCCTAAGCACCACCCAGTTTAATCTTTTAACAAAACAGAATAAATTGTAAATAGAACTTTCAAATGATGAACTCATCAGGTTATTGGTCTCATTCACAGGTAACTCACCTTTTTGACAATGGAGCTACTGTCTTTTTTGCTGTTTTCATGGCAGTGTGGGGTAAGTCTTTCTTTGGATTCGTGTAATGTTTAGTACATTTTCCTTTAAATGTATGGGGTGAGATAGGACCCTTTAAACTCCAGCATGCCTAGTTTCAGATGCTGAAATGCAGAGTGTTGGCTTGACTCTTCCCAATCAAGTCTTTTCTGGTTCAGTGAAAATGTGGAAGGAAAGGGTAAAGAATTTATATTTTTAATGTTCAGTTTCTGGACATTTTAATTTTAAAAATAGGTCAAATAAGCAGTATCCAGGTGGACATTTATATCCTGGTTGAAAAACTAGAGATTTAAAATATGTTGCTATTGAGTCAAGTTCAGGAGTCTTTATTCAGTCATTCCTCAGGCCTTGTCTTTTCTGGGGAAAGGCATCATGTTATATCCAAGCATAAGTGCTGGAACAAGGAATGTGCGAGGTGCTGCAGCACCCCTTGACTTGAAGTGGTTTCCATTATATACTGGGTTTACAGTTTGGTTCAATGGCTCTCAGCACCCCCACTATAAAAAAAATTGTTCCAGCACCCCTGTATCCAAGAAAAATTCTGAGAGATATGGGATGCTTTCCTGAAGTATATGTATGATCCTATTAAATGCATGGGCCACCCCTCGCTAGGCATGTAGATAGGTGGCTAGCCCCTCCCATTTCTTGTACTGCCATGGCTATGCTTTATTTTTAGTGCACTAGATCTATCAGAGCTAGAGTGGGTATGTCTCCTCAAACTGGGAATTACATCCCTAGCTTGAATTGTAAACATACCCTCAGAGACATGGAATTTTTCTGGGGAGGATATTCTCACCCAGGCTTACCAAATCTCAGAAATGGACAAATACTTTATCCTATCAAGCATCTGGGCTTGATTTTCAGAGGTGCAGAACATCTGCAGTTCCCACTGACTTCAGTTGGAATAGTGAGTACTTAGCACTTGTGAAAGCCAAGCCCTACATTTTCAAGTTTTCTATTTTAGAGGAAAAGACCTAAATGTCATCCCTTATGCCAAAAGATGTATTGTGCTTAGTGGAAACATTAGTACAGACTCTAGGCAGGAATGTCACTAATTTTATTTTGCCTACACTAGTTCTTGCTAAAGATACAATAGCTGTTGGCTAAGGACCAAGTTATGAGAAACCTCCATCCTCTACTACACACACACATACACGTTCACGGTTTGTACAGACTTGTCATAAAAATTGATGTTTGTCAAAAATTAAGTAACAAACAAGTTCTTGTAAGGTCAGGTAACATTATAGCAGGTGCTTATTTAAATGAAATTTGACATAGAGGGGGAGAATATTACAATGATTTTGTTGTTCAGCTTTGTTTGAAGCTCAACACCAAAATTGTGTCATTCTTCAACCGGCGCTGTTATCCAGAGGCAGTCATTATGAATCCTTCACCAGAGAAGCAACTGAATGACTTTAATTTATATGCCTACCTCTTCCTTTCTCCACAGTTTTTTTTCAGGAGGCTAAGAGACACTAGAAAAATTCTAATTATAGTTCCTTCTTGACTACAGGGAAGCTTGTGTTCTCTGATAAAGGAATTAACACTGGAACAGTTGCTGAAATGCAAAGTTTAAAAAACAGAAACTAGTGGAAGTATTTAGTATTCTTATTAGCGATAAGAAATGCCAATATACTCCTCGGAACAAAAAACATTCTCCTTCTTCTGCTGTCAAAGGGGGCAGAATCTGATGAGGTTCTTTAATATAAATCCAGGAGAAAGTAGTGTATTCAGGAAGGTTAGAAGAAATCAGAGTATTCATCAATGCTCTGAAATAAAGTAGGGTAAGAAAAGAGAGATGAACAATAGGTAATTAACCACTAGAGGAAGCCAGCCTTGGAACTATAAAAGGTCACAAGTTAGACTGAAAGTGCTCAAGGAAGGCCTGTCTAGGAGAGTGTTTTGTAGAAGGTTGCTGTTAGGTTGAATCTCAAGACAGATTGAAAGGAGGGCAAACAGTAGTGTAGCAGAACTATACTAAAGTATGTCTGTAAGTTCTGAACTTCAGAGCTTTCCAATAATTTTGTTTGAGCATATGGGATAAATGTACATTTTGAAATATCCTAACAGAAGTATGGCAAGTATGATGAAATAATGTTATATGCCGTGTTGTCATAGCTGTGTTGGTTCCACGATATGAGAGAGACAAGGTGGGTGAGGTGATATCTTTTATTGGATCAACTTCTGTTGGTGAGAGAGACAAGCTATTGACCTCACACAGAGCTCTTCTGCAGGTCTGTGGAAGCTCTGTGTAACCTTGTCTCACCAACAGAAATTGGTCCAATAAAAGATATTACCTCACCCACCTTGTCTCTCTAGAATGATGTTATACTGTCTTGTTCAGAAATGAATGCTGAATACATGACAAAGGATATTAGAGATGATCTGACTAGAAAGGAAGCAGGGGGATTTCACAATTTGGTACTTTTAGAAGCTCTCAGTATTACAGAAATGCAGTAAGATTAGCTATCAACAACATATGATATAATAGTCAATGGTGGAAAGAAGGGCTACTGACCTCAGTAGAAAAAGAGTGTAATACAATAAAAGAAAATAGAATATTGGAGATCATAGTAGTGAATACTGTATAAATGAAAAATAGTACCAGAAAGAAACTTCAAGAGCCATAGGCAGAGATAGGTTTCAGAGTAGCAGCCGTGTTAGTCTGTATTCGCAAAAAGAAAAGGAGTACTTGTGGCACCTTAGAGACTAACCTTAGAGACTAACTTACAGAGCTGAGCTGTAGCTCATGAAAGCTTATGCTCAAATAAATTGGTTAGTCTCTAAGGTGCCACAAGTACTCCTTTTCTTATAGGCAGAGATACTAACTGTGGATTTTTTCCCCCACTGTGTACTTTAAAAATTAGAAGGGAAAACAATTTGATTCATCTTGGATTAGTCTCAAAAGTTCAGAAAATTGGACAGAAAATCTCACAAGATTCCTAATACAGTGTGCTTTTGAGGGAAGGAGATGTGAGGACAGTAGTCATTCTCACTGTACTTCGCTACTGAGCCTGAAAGTGTAGAGCGGGGTGATGGGGGAGAGAGAGAATCCAAGCTCACGTGGTAGTAACTAAAAGTCATTACTCTCTGAGGGCTGATTTCTAGCCTGTATGAAATGAGTTGATGCTCTGAATCCGGTTACTAGGAAACAAAACTATTGTGTGCATCACAAAAACCACCATAATAATTGGCATTCTTGTTGGCAGTAGGCAGGCTAAGGACTGAATCAGCATAGAGAATGAACTGCATTCTTGTGCGCTAAGGTGACCCCTCTAGGACAAGACTTGAGGCACATTGTCAGGCTGTTGTTGGGGAGGCTTGCACAGTCACTGCTGGGAGCATCCCTGCTCTGGTCTGTGAATAAACAAAGGTTTTCCATTTCCAGGGCTGTCAATCTGGCACCTCTCATGACCATTAAGGGCCAGATCCAAAGCCCACTGAAGCCAGTGAACGACTCCCATGGATTTTAGTGGGCTTAAGTGTAAATAAATAATGTGTTTATAAACAATGCCAGTTTGACTCTCCGAGACATGGATTATGATCAATTGACTAAATACTTCCCGATCTTTCCTGCCAATATAAAACACGGTGGCAAGCACAACCACTTTTCTGACTACTGTAGTGCAGTGAGTGCTGTACTTATGTTATACTCCAGTGAGTTATGTAATTGTGGTTCATTTGAAAAAAATTAACTCAGTTATCAATGCCAGAAACATCTGTTCCTGTATTTTAAAGGCAATGCCTTGGATTAGAAAGGCAAGGCACCAGTTCCAGTTTCCTCAGCAGCTCTGTACTGAATTGCATGTGCACTGGAATCTGATTAGAAACTTCTTTGCTTCCTCTGGATACTGATTCCTGTGTATTTTAAATAGTCTTCTGATAAGGCAAGCTACCTTTTTGATCTACATTGTTCCCAAGAAACCTTTGTCTTTCCCATTGGTCTATCTAAATTTAGCTAAGATGACTCACAGAAGCCATTTAATTCTTTTCAATCTGTAACTCATTTGATTGGAAATTAAACATGTTCTATTAGCACTAAATGAAATCACCAAAGCTTCAACCATGTCTGACACAAGCCAAAGTAGAAAGAAATACCTTGTGAATGCAGCTTTGATCATCAGAAAGATTTGCTGTCAAAGAAGTCCATTTATGCAAACAAACGAAAATTATGGAACAGCTTAATTCAACAATAATGCTAGTAGTTAGCATATTTTCTTCATTTGAAAATGATCTTGTGATTTCTTTTTTCTATGTGCTCCAGCAACTGTTTTCCTGGAGTTTTGGAAAAGAAGACGAGCAGTAATTGCTTATGACTGGGACTTGATAGACTGGGAAGAAGAAGAGGTTTGTTGATAATTTACTACTTTAATCTTGGGTAGAAAAGATTCTGGTTAAAAATCAGCAGCCAATTTTTCCCTTAGTTTTATTATCAATTTCTCTTTCACATCAGAAGCTATAAAATAAACCTTATAATTTATCTTTCTGTAAGGATGAGCATTTTCTCCCAAGATGCTTCATCTAGAGCTGTGAAGAAACTTGCTGCAGGCCAAATTGTGCTCTCATTTTTCACCAATGTAAATACAAATTAACTTCAAGGAAGTTTTGGGGGCATTCTCTGGGTTTATGGCAATGTAGGTTCGAAAAGGATCTGGCCTCCATTGTGGTAGAACTAGCAACAATCACACTAAAAGAATCTTTCAGCATGATTTAATTGTTTTAAAGCAATTACTTTTTAGTCCATAGACATTCAGATTTTTAAAAATGCAAAAGGTTGACCTTCCTGCCTGCCCTTGAATAACTATACATCAACCATCAACATCAAGATGAGCTTCCTAAGGTGTTGCTTTGGATAGCTGCTAAGAATACTGATGGGGAACCTCAAAAGGTTTTCACAGCTCCCAAAAGTCTGGCTGGTCTTTGTTTTCACATCACAGTAGGTGTAAAACACAGTGCCATACAGACACTGAAATGGATAACAATATTATTGCCCAGAAGGCTTGCAGTGAAGCAGCTAAATTCACCCAATGCCCAGTGAAGGAAAATCCACTAGGATAGGAGGTTGGGGAGGTGAAAAATAGCCACAACCTCCCTTCTGCTGTGGCTGCCACACAGGCATGGAGGGCTTTGATGGCAATGGAACTATACAGGGAAAGGGCAGGATGCTAGGAACCTGCAAGGTGGATTTGGAACCCCTGCATGGCCTGGAGCATTGCTGCTCTGAGTTTCCTTGCTCCCAGGCATGTAGGATTCTTTTGTGGGCAGAGTCAGAGAATGGCAGGCGGAGCTACGTTCCTTTCCTCCACAAGGGGTTCATTGCCATTGTGGGAGGGCTACAATAGTCATTAGGCTGCAGTAATGGTCACAGTGGCTTGACTGCTAATCTGCTGCCTGTGGGAAAGAATTCCTTCCCCAGGGTCACTGTAGATTTTCCCAGCACAGAACCAGACTTCTCAGCCTAGGGACGGAATTTGTCTCTTTGGGAAGAGGCCACATAATGTTACATTTGCTTATTTGATGACAAGATGGGTTTTCTTTAACCTTGGTGGTGAGGGAAATAAGTGAAAAACACAAAGGAAAACAAATGGCTGCTTTGGGCCAAGTGGAGAGTCCCTGTGGAATCCCAGAGTATAAAGAGGCTGCTAAAGAACTTAAAACAGACTTCTATGCAGCAGAGGGCTTCACTGGCAGTGCACACATGCTGTCAGACCAATCCCAGGATTGCTTTGGGACTGTTATCGATGTGTCTACAGAAGTGGTGGGCAGCCTGCGAGCCACATGCGGCCCAACAGGGTAATCCGATTGCAGGCCGTGAGACATTTTGCTGACGTTGACGGTCCACAGGCACCGCCGCCTGCTGCTCCCAGTGGCCGCAGTTCGCTGTTCCTGGCCAATGGGAGCTGTGGGGGGTCGTGCCTGCGAATGGTCAACGTCAACAAAATGCCTGCAATCAGATTACCCTGATGGCCCACAGGTTGGCCACCACTGGTCTAGGGGATAGTTAGGTCCTGAATCTGCTGGAGCGTGCCAGTGAAAGGTCACCTGTAATAGTGAGAGTGGCTTCAAATGGTGCTGTTAAGACTTAAGATGCTAATTAGGACTAAGCTGTATTGGTCTTGCCTAGGTTGCCAACCCTCCAGGATTGGCCTGGAGTCTCCTGGAATCAGCATCGATCTCCCAATGACTATGGAAAGCAATCCAGGAGATTTTAATAGGATATTTTAAGTAAATGACATTACATCATTTTGGGGGGAAAAATCTCCCAGAATAGCTTCAGTCAGCATTGGCAACCCTAGGCTTGCCTCCTACTGGTTAGAAGCCCACACTGATTAAGAGCACAGAAAAGTTCAAGAGGCTGAAGTGCTGAATTTTGATTTGAAGGGTCCAGATTCAAACCCAACAGGGGTGGATTCCTCTCATTGAAAAGACACTTAAAGAAACTAACAAAACCTTGTAACAATTATGAGCATTCAAACTGCCTTTCCATGAGCTCTGGTGCCCCAGTATTAGTTATTTGCGCGCTTCTTAGGCATGCAGCCCCTTTACAGTTTAACCAGCCTGGATTTGGGATTGGGATTTACCTAGCATTATGGATATCAGTGGAGCAGCCAGGCCAAATCTGAGTGAGTGGCATTGCGACCTGGTGCATGAAGCAGGTTGCAAGGAGCAAGGACACAGGACAGGAGCCATCGCTGCTGGGTGAGTGGGGCACATTTGCTCTCCAACCCCTGCCTTCCCGGGCCTCCCCAACTGGCTGGGGCTGGAAGAGGGGGAAGAGAAGGGAGACAAGAGAGTCAGGAGGCTGGGGGGAGCTGAGCAGGGGGCTTGGAGGCTGGGAAGGGGAACAGGGGTATTCTCCTATTTTGTAGCCTCCTTGCTGGGAGGGGGCATCTGTGTTGTTTTGTGTCTGTTTCAGTTAGGACCGCCCTCTTCCCCCAAAGGATCTTTGAGAGGCTAAGGCCAGGTCTACACTATAAACTTACATCAGCATAACTACATCGACCAGAGGTGTGAAAAGTCCACTCCCATGAACGATGCAATTATACCAACCTAGCCACCTGTGTAGACAGCGCTGGGTCAGCAGGAGGGCTTCTCCTGTCATCATAGCTACCGCCTCTTGTGGAGGTGGATTAGCTACACTAACAGGAGAAGCTCTTCCATTGGCATAGCAATGTCTTCACTGCAGCGGCAGAGCTGCACCATTGCAAGTACAAACCTGTCCTAATTCTCTCCCAGGACAGAGACAACCTGGAGGGCTGGTTTGTGTTTTGTTTTGTTTTGCTGTGCCTGTCTTCCACTGTCACTTAAAGGGGTGATGATGTCAGACTACAGCCTACAGGGGGATAGCAGCATCCTATCGGAATTCCCTATCCACAAGAGAGGGCACAGCTGGGAGAGCAAGGGGGCTGGAGGCAGCCACTTAATGCAGCTGGAAATGAGGGCCAAAGAGAATGTTGCCTGAGTAAGGGGTGAATGAATTCTGCAAATAGGAACAGCTTTAAATACTGCCCTTTATCTAACTTTCCCCACATTCAGAGATAAATCAGTTATAATGAGGCGCAAGATACTTTTTCAAACAGTGAGGAACCTCTAGCTAAAACTCGGAGGGTACACAAGTATCTAGCAAGCAGTTTTATTTACAAGTGAGCTTGGAAACAGGATTAAGTTCAATTTTATTCCTGCTTTGCCGAATTGCTACTGTCTACTATCAAAATCCTAGAAAATTTCCTGGTGTCATCTTTGAAACAATATTGTTTACAGATATACATTTTCAAACACTCTTGTTTCTGATAGTAACTAACTGGGGAGTTTGTTAAATTTTATGTATGTAATTCTGTGAAGTTAGATGCCTTTTCTTACAGTGATCTGTTTTCCTCATTAAGAGCTGCTGATTTCCCAACTGATTTCCTGATTTAAGTGTCTGGCGCTTAACATCACTGAAGTATTACTAGAAATAATTTTATGAAAAAAGTGATCTGAAGTTTGATGTTGCCTAGCTGTATTGTATGTAAAAATTGTTCCTCTCTTTTTTAGGAAGAAATACGTCCCCAGTTTGAAGCAAAGTACTCCAAGAAAGAACGGATGAATCCCATATCTGGAAAACCAGAGCCTTATCAAGCATTTGCAGATAAATGCAGCAGACTTATTGTTTCCGCATCTGGAATATTTTTTATGGTTTGAGAACATTAATTTCCTTTCCGGTTACAAGAAGGAAAAGTTTAGTTTAAAAATGGCAAACAGAGTAGTAATTTTGGAAAACAGATAATTTGGTTTGTCTGAATGCAGAGGGTGGAATTATAGTTTATACTCTGGTTTAAAGATTGTACTGTCTGTTACAGCCAGAGTTGAGCCCCCCCGCTCCCCTTGTTGATGGTTACCAGTCTGCTGTACTGAACACAACCTTTGGATCCCATGTGCTTCTAGCCAGCTGGGTCTGCACAGAGCCAAGACATTGTTTCTACTTTTGGCTTGTCAGGCGCACTCCTCAGGTGCAGACTCCCTGCCTGGTCCCCTATCTGAGGATGTGGGACTCCACGTCCAATTGCCCTTAGCCCTGAAACCAGTGCTGTCCCTCAGCAGCAGGTTATGCATGCCCCACTTTCACTGTCCCAAATTGCACCTCCATGAGCACTCCAGTTTATAATTTTACTCTTTGGGGATAGCAGATAAAGTAAGGAACACCAGCTTTGCAAAGGAACTTCTTAAATATGCACACTTTACTCTTAGCAGAGGAGAGTACAGATCTAGGCAAAACAACAAACACCTGAACACAACTCCTCTCCCCGCTCCCTCCCCGTGTCCTCATCACTTTTGAGAGCCCTTTGGGTTTTGGTCAGTGTCCATTGGGGAAGGCTTCTGTTTCCCTTTCTCCAGATGTGTGTGTCTTCTCATTCTACTGTTGGAATGATTCTCCTTTCTAAAGAGCATTTCACTTTCAAAAGCAATTTCTAGTGCCTTTTTTCTGTTTCTGTTCTTCCACTGAGATTTTCCATGCTCCAACCATGTGTGGCATTGCTGGCAGAGAGTTGTTAAAAATCAGTGGCTCTGCCAATAGCAACCAGGATAGAACTATACAGTGTTGAGGCCCCTTGGTGGTCCTGATGCAGTTTCCCAGACACACACTGTTCCTGCCACAACATCAAGGTTCTAAACCACAATGAAGGTTACAATCATAAATGCTATTCATAAAACAAAAGGGAATTCATCAATTGACATACACACCCACTATCACACAATCTTTCAGTAAAAAATACCCCTGTTTTAAAAACATAAAAGAGGATTTGTTTTAATTCATGCTAATCAGCATTGTTAATCTGGAATAGCTCCACTGACTTCAGGAGAGTTACTATGGATTTACACTGGTAGAACTGGGATCAGAATCTGTGTGGTATCCAGCAAGCCTCCAGCCAGGGACATACGCAGGGAACTGGCTTAGAATGAAAATGTGGACTCATTCACAATTATTTAGTTACTGGCTTACAATAAATAAATAAAAACAGGGCATATCTCAAAGTCCTCACCCAAGTTTTGCTCGATCCTTATTCATGCAGCATCTCACTGACTTCAGTGACAGTTCTGTTGTTGTAAAAACTGAGGTTCAAATCCCTGAAGTCAAAGGGAATTTTCCTGTGTGACAACTAGAAAATCAGATCCACTGGTAATTTTAAAGAAAAACCTTTGAGGAAATATTCTTCTTTGCTTCCAAAATACATCTGTCAATCGTTAAGCTAAATCAGCTTTCCAATACAAAGTTATAAAGGCTAACCGAGGACTTTGTAGTGAAGGCTGGCTGTCACCACCTTTTCATAATAGATTAGACACAATATTATCTTTAAATTCAGGATCTTTCTACCTGCAACTGATCTTATTTTCAGAATGCAACACTTGAGTTAAAAATAAAAATACACAAGAACCCTGTTTGCTGCCCTCTTTCTGAGCCAGGTTGCACTAATTCCCATCCAAAATGAGCAGTGTTTTTTAGGATTTGTGTCACCAGCTGTTTCCTGCCTTCTTCACTATTGATAATCAGTGCAAATTCATTTGTACACAGGGTGAAGTATGTATATAACCTTTTTGAGCTATGAGGGGTCTTTTAAACTTCAGCTAATGTTAACTTCAAATGCTAAACACTTAATCAAATATCTCACAATCTAAAGCCAGCCTGAATTTATCTATCTTCCAAATTGCCTTTTTCTCTTTTTTAAACAGAGTGCTTATGCTTTACCTTCGTGAAAAGTCCTTGAAATTATCATTTGGGATGATGACACTTCTTTTGCCAAAGTCAGAGATCACTTGAAAAATCATGAGATTTAGATTTAAGTCAGAACTTGGAAGCCTGGATATTCAAGTACTATTTGGCTTTGACAAAACAAATTCTGGACTGTATTATTTTAGCCTCCCTTCCCCCACCTTGTTAATCTTAGAAACAAGCCAAGAATTATTTTCAAAATTGACTTTTTGTTGTTGTTGTTGTGTTTGTTGTTGTTCTTTGAATAGCACAGGCTTCCACTGGGTTAGAAATACATGGATTTTTAAAACTGAAAAGGAGTACTTGTGGCACCTTAGAGACTAATGTTATAATTCTTGACATCTGATTTGTGTCCATTTATTCTTTTACGTAGAGAGTGTCCAGTTTGACCAATGTACATGGCAGAGGGGCATTGCTGGCACATGATGGCATATATCACATTGGTGGATGTGCAGGTGAACGAGCCTCTGATAGTGTGGCTGATGTTATTAGGCCCTGTGACGGTGTCCCCTGAATAGATATGTGGACACAGTTGGCAGCGGGCTTTGTTGCAAGGATAGGTTCCTGGGTTAGTGGTTCTGTCGTGTGGTATGTGGTTGCTGGTGAGTATTCGCTTCAGGTTGGGGGCTGTCTATACGCAAGGACTGGCCTGTCTCCCAAGATTTGTGAGAGTGATGGGTCGTCCTTCAGGATAGGTTGTAGATCCTTGATAATGCATTGGAGAGGTTTTGGTTGGGGGCTGAAGGTGACGGCTAGTGGCGTTCTGTTATTTTCTTTGTTAGGCCTGTCCTGTAGTAGGTGACTTCTGGGAACTCTTCTGGCTCTATCAATCTGTTTCTTCACTTCCGCGGGTGGGTATTGTAGTTGTAAGAATGCTTGATAGAGATCTTGTAGGTGTTTGTCTCTGTCTGAGGGGTTGGAGCAAATGCGATTGTATCGCAGAGCTTGGCTGTAGACAATAGATCGTGTGGTTTGGTCTGGATGAAAGCTGGAGGCATGTAAGTAGGAATAGCGGTCAGTAGGTTTCCGGTATAGGGTGGTATTTATGTGACCATCGTTTATTAGCACTATAGTGTCCAGGAAGTGGATCTCTTGTGTGGACTGGACCAGGCTGAGGTTGATGGTGGGGTGGAAATTGTTGAAATCATGGTGGAATTCCTCAAGGGCTTCTTTTCCATGGCTCCAGATGATGAAGATGTCATCAATATAGCGCAAGTAGAGTAGGGGCGTTAGGGGACGAGAGCTGAGGAAGCGTTGTTCTAAGTCAGCCATAAAAATGTTGGCATACTGTGGGGCCATGCAGGTACCCATAGCAGTGCCGCTGATTTGAAGGTATACATTGTCCCCAAATGTGAAATAGTTATGGGTAAGGACAAAGTCACAAAGTTCAGCCACCAGGTTAGCCGTGACATTATCGGGGATAGTGTTCTTGACGGCTTGTAGTCCATCTTTGTGTGGAATGTTGGTGTAGAGGGCTTCTACATCCATAGTGGCCAGGATGGTGTTATCAGGAAGATCACCGATGAATTGTAGTTTCCTCAGGAAGTCAGTGGTGTCTCAAAGGTAGTTGGGAGTGTTGGTAGTGTAGGGTCTGAGGAGAGAGTCTATATAGCCAGACAGTCCTGCTGTCAGGGTGCCAATGCCTGAGAGGATGGGGTGCCCGGGATTTCCAGGTTTATGGATCTTGGGTAGTAGAGAGAATATCCCAGGTTGGGGTTCCAAGGGTGTGTCTGTGCGGATTTGATCTTGTGCTTTTTCAGGGAATTTCTTGAGCAAATGCTGTAGTTTCTTTTGGTAACTCTCAGTGGGATCAGAGGGTAATGGCTTGTAGAAAGTGGTGTTGGAGAGCTGCCTAGCAGCCTCTTGTTCATATTCCGACCTATTCATGATGACAACAGCACCTCCTTTGTCAGCCTTTTTGATTATGATGTCAGAGTTGTTTCTGAGGCTGTGGATGGCATTGTGTTCTGCACGGCTGAGGTTGTGGGGCAAGTGATGCTGCTTTTCCACAATTTCAGCCCGTGCACATCAGCGGAAGCACTCTATGTAGAAGTCCAGTCTGCTGTCTCGACCTTCAGGAGGAGTCCACCTAGAATCCTTCTTTTTGTAGTGTTGGTAGGGAGGTCTCTGTGGATTAGTATGTTGTTCAGAGGTGTGTTGGAAATATTCCTTGAGTCGGAGACGTCGAAAATAGGATTCTAGGTCACCACAGAACTATATCATGTTCATGGGGGTGAAGGGGCAGAAGGAGAGGCCCCGAGATAGGACAGCTGCTTCTGCTGGGCTAAGAGTATAGTTGGATAGGTTAACAATATTGCTGCGTGGGTTGAGGGAACCATTGCTGTGGCCCCTTGTGGCATGTAGTAGTTTAGAAAGTGTAGTGTCCTTTTTCTTTTGTAGAGAAGCAAAGTGTGTGTTGTAAATGGCTTGTCTAGTTTTAGTAAAGTCCTGCCATGAGGAAGTTTGTGTGGAAGGTTGGTTTTTTATGAGAGTATCCATTTTTGAGAGCTCATTCTTTATCTTTCCCTGTTTGCTGTAGAGGATGTTGATCAGGTGGTTCTGCAGTTTCTTTGAGAGCATGTGGCACAAGCTGTCAGCATAGTCTGTGTGGTATGTAGACTGTAATGGATTTTTTACCTTCAGTCCTTTTGGTACGATGTCCATCTGTTTGGATTTGGAAAGGAAGATGATGTCTGTCTGTATCTGTACAAGTTTTTTCATGCAGTTGATAGATTTCCACTCCATACGGCTAAATGCAGTGCCTTGCATAATGACAGGTTTCAGAGTAACAGCCGTGTTAGTAACTAACTCGGCTGTTACTCTGAAACCTTTTAAAACTGAAATATCCTTGAAAAACAGTAGCTTAAAATAAGAGAAAAGGATGTTTTGTAAAACTTAAAATAAAGGCAGTTCTATATGTGTCAGTAAACCCAAACGTCACCAGGTTCTGCCTGAACCTTCATTCACGTCCATAAAGAGAAGTGGTTGAACCACAAAGCTAATGGGGCTGTCGCCCGCTCCACCTTCCAACTGCCATCCTGAAAATCTACTTACTTTGCTATCTGCATACCTTAATATAGTTTGGTTTTGAAGCTACCCCTGCAAAGTCAAATGTGTTCTGTTGTTACCAACAGAAGTGTCAATGATAAACACACTGCAGGCTCCTTAGAATGTTAGTGCATTGAAATAAGAGTTTTGTCTAATCACTCCATCTACTGGTGAAGATCAGTATTATACTTGTCTTAAAATATTGTCTGGTTAGATCCCACTGAGTGATATTTCCTTAACATCAAAAGTAAGCCTGTGCAGTCAATTTAAAATCCAGAAATAAAATAATATCAATGTTGTGATGACTCAAAGATCGCTATATGGATAATTTTATGGTGTTTTCCAAAGTAAAGTGTTAGTGAGATATCCTGGGTAATTTAAGGGAAGATGGTAGAGGTGGGGGCTGTGTGGGAATATTTAGGTGATTTTTTTATATATATGGATTGGATGACATGAAAATCTTTCAGATATGCTGTAGCATTTAGTTGTGCCAACCTAGATTTCCCTATAAATTTTGCATCAGAAGCAGGAAGTTTGCCAAACAATCAGTGGGACCACTGAACGATCGAGGTGCTAAAAGAACACTCAAGGAAGACAAGGCCATTGCAGAGAAGCTATATGATTTTTTTGCATTGGTCTTCACAGCAAAGGATGTGAGGGAGATTCCCAAACCTGAGCCATTCTTTTTAGGTGACAAATCTGAGGAACAGTCCAGATTGAGGCATCGATAGAGGAGGTTTTGGAACAAATTGATAAACAGTAATAAGTCATCAGGGCCAGATGGTATTCAGAGGGAACTCAAATATGAAATTGCAGAACTACGAACTGGTATGTAACCTAACACTTAAATCAGCTTCTGTACCAGATGACTGGCGAACTGGTTGAAACTATAGTAAAGAACAGAATTATCAGACACATAGATGAACATGATATGTTGGAGAAGAGCCAGCACGGCTTTGGTAAAAGGAAATCATGCCTCACCAATGTATTAGACTTCTTTGAGGGGGTCAACAAACCTATGGACAAGGGTGATCCAGTGGATATACTGTACTTGGACTTTCAGAAAACCTTTGACAAGGTCCCATACCAAAGGCTCTTAAGCAAAGTAAGCCGTTGTGGGATATGAGAGAGGGAAGGAATAAATGGTTAGTTTTCAGAATGGAGAGAGGTAAATAGCAGGGTCCCCCAGGGATCTGTATTGGGACCAGTGCTGTTCCACATATTCATAAATGATCTGAAAAAGGAGGTAAACAGTGAGATGGCAAAGTTTGCAGATGGTACAAAATTACTCAAGTAAGTCCAAAGTAGATTGCGAAGAGTTACAAAGGGATCTCACAAAGCTTGGGTGATTGGGCAACAAAATGGCAGATGAAATTCAATGCTGATAAATGCGAACTAGTTCACACTGGAAAACATAATCCCGACCATACATACAAAATGTGGGGGTCTAAATTAGTTGTTACCACTCAAGAAAGAGGTCATGGAGTCATTGTGGATAATTCTCTGAAAATATCCAATCAATATGCAGCAGCAGTCAAAAATGCTCACAGAACAAACATTAGGAACCATTAGGAAAGGGATAGATGATAAGACAGAAAATATCATCATGCCACTATATAAATCCATACCCTGAATACTATGTGCAATTCTGGTCGTTGTGTCCCAAAAAAGATATATTAGAATTGGAAAACGTACCAAGAAGGGCAACAAAAATGATTAAGGGTACGGAACAGGTTCCATACGAGGAGAGATTAAAAAGACTGGGACTATTCAGGCTGGAAAAGAGAAGACTAACAGGGGATGAAATAGAAGACTATAAAATCACTAATGATGTGGAGAAAGTATGGAATTCAACGTATAAGCCTTTACCATACTTGAGTAATTGGTGATTGATCCAACCCTAGAGGGTTATTCTTGAAGAAGCCAAAACAGCTTTAAAATGGCTCATATTGTTAAATTTCTGAATCTGTGAACATGAGACAAATTTCTTCATATTTGTTGTTATGTGGTTACAGTCTTCCCTGAAAGAAACTTACAAATCCTGAAATTAACACTGGGAGCCGTAAGCCAGAAATGATCCTTTGTAACTGTGACATTTGTATGCCTATCAGAACCTTTGTGGCTTAGAGTTAGCAGAATAGAAGAGTTTCCGCTCAAATTTTTAAAATGAGCGGAGACAATTTTAATCACTTTTTTACCATGAGAATAATTTATCTCAGTTTGTTTTACTGATAATAATTTATCTCCTTGTTTTACTGTCAAACTAATGATTTTCTCTCTCAAATATTTATGACTGACCAAACGCTTCTTTAAACATTAAAGCCAAAACACCGAGCCCCCAAGGGAAGGTGTTGGAAAGTCCATCCCTGTCCCCTAAACCAGGGCTGTCCAGCCTCAAGCTAGTGCCTAGTGTAAATTACAGCAGCCTCAGGACTACTGTGTTTTACTCTGGCTGCCCATCCATTCCAACAGGTAAGGAGCATATGGGCATAGGGATAGCCACACCTGGGTCAAGAGAAAGGGTGGGTATAGAAGTTTCTGAGGCCACTCTATACCACCTAGGAATCCCCTTCTCCACAGGGAATCGTCCTCTAGCTCACTAGTAAGGTAACTTTGTGGCTGCTATATGCTTCCAGAGTGGCAAAGAGTAGCTTTAATGGATCAGATGAACTGGTCCTATGTGTTCACACACACTTTAACCTTCTCCTTGTCATGTTTCTCTACATATGGATTATGCCAACCTCTGTTAAACCAATTCTGTAAATAAAAGAATGTGAAAATGGCTTGAAATTCTGGGGTGGGGGGAGGCGTTGATTGTTTTTACCTAAATAACTATGATGTATCACATTTTTGTCAGGTTTTACGAATGCATTCGGGTTGTAGTAATGCATGTGGACACACCAAACCTGACTGGTTTCTATTCAAGAAAATGTAATTGCATGGTAACATAGCTAAGATATAGTATATAATGTAGCCTGGATAAGATGAGTCACCCATGCTAATAACAAAATGTTTGAGATCTAGGTTACTGGCTCAAATGGGACACAAGTTGGTCATGACAGTTTAATGCCCAACTGTTCTGTATGATATGTCACAACTGACTTAGTGACCTCAGCTCAACTGGAAAATTTTCTACATCAGACATCTTTTCTAAGTATTATCAAAGATGCCAGGGATGAAATTATCAAAGAGATTGAATTTACCATCCCTAAATATAATCCTTCCAAAATAGTACAGTGAAGCAGCTTGTTAAGGTAGTGTAATGAAATTCTCTGTTGCTTCCTGAGTAGTATTTAACACAGGGTGAAATTCCCCCCGGGCAAAGAGGCAGCACAAAAGCCTATGTACCACTTTGAATATTCAAAGTATGACTTATGTGGTCCATAAGCCATGTACTGACCCTCTCCAGAGTGGTGAATTTTACTCAGTGTCAGTAAGGCAAAGCTTTAATTTCCAGGGCTAGCAATCAGGCACCATTCACTAACTCTGGAAAACAGAAAATAGTTGTGTTTTTCAAGAGAATGATTAAATGTAGACATGATTTTAATCAGATATCAAGTGTATTTATATTATAGGAAATGGAGAGGAAATCAGATATTAATCCAGATGAAATCCCTCTCAGTGAAAAATGATGTATGTTTCAGGACTTGTTTTTTTAAGATAGGTTTATTTTTATAGTCTTGAGAATGTCAGGAAGAAATCAATTCCAATTGTGAGGAATTTCAGGCTTTTCTGTTTTCCCCCCTTTAGATCTGTGTGGTGATTGCTGCTGTTTTTGGCATTGTTATTTACCGTGTTGTGACTGTCAGCACTTTTGCTGCCTTTAAGTGGGCTTTAATCAGGAATAACTCTCAGGTTGCAACTACAGGGACTGCAGTGTGCATCAACTTTTGCATCATCATGCTACTGAATGTGGTAAGTAAAGATAACCAGGATCCATAAGCAGTGGGTATAAAAGGCCAGGATGCTGGGTTGTTGGTTTTGGCGATTTGCATGGGCTGGGCTTCCACCGGAAGAAGTTTTTGCTTATTATTATGCACCATGCAGGTTCCAGGGTGGCTGAGGAGGTGGTATCTGCTACTCAGCTTCCTGGGTTCATCAGCAATCTCCCTGAACTCCAGAGAGATTACTGATGAACCTGGGAAGCTGAGTAGCAGATACCGCCTCCTCAGCCGCCCTGGAACCTGCATGGCGCATATAAAAAGCTCAGGTTCTTTGGGAAGAGCTTTTGCTTTTCCTGCTGGGGGTCTTGGGAGGGGAGTCACGGCACAGCTGGGATGACTCAGGGCTCCTCTGGCCATGGGGGCGGCTCAGGAGTCCTCCGGCCATGGCGGGGAGGCCTGGGGATCGGCCCTCCAGCAGGTAGGGGGTGAGGTTCACCCACCGCCCATGCTAGGATCTAAAGCAAAGTACACACAGGCACTTGATCTATATGTGCCCCAGTCTGCATGTTGCTGAATGCCCTCAACTGCTATTGACTTTAATGGGAGCTGAGGATGCTTGTTGGGTTTGACTCTTAGTACCTACCATACCTGTGTAATTGGCTTCAAAATTCACTTAAGTACAATACATGTTTGAAAAAGTCTACAAATTATATAATTTTAAAGGGACATATTCAAGCCTGGTTGGTTCAAATTTGTTCTACAAGATATTCCTTCTGTTTATTTGCAATTTGCAAGTAAGTCTTTAAATATGCTTTTTTTAAACAAAATGGTTCAGTGTTCTTTTTTAATATAAAGGCCAGACTTGCTCCTCACTTACTCACGGCAGAATTTTCCCCTTAGGGATAGATATATACAGACTCTCTTTCTACAGGAGAGCACTTACCTGCATTGAAAACTTCACAGGGAGGGATTGACATTGAGTGGCTGTGAATTGTTCCATCAGTTACTTCTAATGCTAAAAGCATGCCAATCACTGCATTCTAGGTGAGAATTCTGGGAGGGTGGATTGAATCTGGCTTGTGAGTCTGATTGGGCCTGGGATAAAGGGATTCCTAGGCCATCTGTTCCTAGGTGGTTAAAGTTCCAGTGGGGTAGATCACAATGGGTTGGGTAGGTAAAGGGCGAGTTTACCCATCCTCTAAGGTGAGAGAGTTCTTTTGGTTTCCCAGGTGCTTCTGGATATTTATGTAGCAGCAATTGTCAGATGTGTTTTTCTGTCACCTGCTCTTGGCAAGAAGGTTGCATCCTTTTCCTTCAGATGCACATGTTGCCAGTTACCCATGTCGTTGCCACCTCGAGGTTGTGTTATTGCAAACACTTTACAAAGAGCTACATCTTCAAGCCATCCAAAAATTGCAGCTAATTCAGAATGTCTTGCCCCACTTAGTAAGTGGAGTTTCTTGCTGTAAGATTATTATTCCTTAGCTCCATGAGCTACACTGACGGGAAAAGTCGATCTAAGCTACACAATTTGAGTTACATGAATAGCGTAACTCAAGTTGACGTAGCTTAGATCTACTTACCGTGGGGTCCATACTATGCAATGTCGACAGGAGACGCTCTGCCGTTGACTCCCCTTACTCTTCTCGATCTGGTGGATTAGAGGAGTCGACAGGAGAGCGATCTGCGGTCTTCATTGATTGCCGTGTGTCGATTCCCCCCCTCCCCCGCCCCCGGTAAGCATAGACTAGCCCTTAGTTTCCAAGTGAAGTATAAGGTGTTAGTTCTAACCAATACATGTACAAATGCTGCCTACTAGAGAGACCACTTCACTTTCTATGTGATACTGAAGCATTTGCAGTCATCTGAGATATTCAAACTAACAGCCCTGGTTTACAGGCAAAGTGGCTGTGAGAAGCCGTCACCACAGGAACTCACTTCTCCTCCCTTTCACACTCAAGCCTGCATTTGATGTCCTTTAGGACAAGCTGAAAGATTTGTCTGGTTTCCCATGCATTTCCCAAGGGAGAGAAAGGGGAGAGTTGATTGAGAAATTGGAGGGAGAAGGATAGGATAGAGACCAATAGTGAGTTGGGAAGTTGGTTTGAGGACTCCGTTTGTAAAAGTTTTTTAATGTATTTTATTTAAAGTCTGTGGCTTTTAATTTTTTTTTTTGGAAGTATGCCTAGATCATGTGATAGGAATTATGAAGAATAAACATAAGTCAGTGTATACCTCTGTCAGCAAAGAACTGACCACCAAACTTCCAACCATCTGTGCACTGAGGCAACAATGAAACGACTCAGAACAGAAGTAGATTTCACTTTCTAGCCCCAAAGACTTCTACTGTTAAGGGGCAAAAATTAAAATGATGGAAAAAGCCATGAATAATTTCCTTGTTGATTTTTTTACTGACTTATCAAGTGGAGTATTGCAAGAAAACTTCTTAAACCTTACAGGTTCTAACAAGAAATAAATATTGTCTGTGAACTGGACAATAAGGAGAGGACCAGGGAAAACGAAATCCCATAAGTATACTAAAGCATGACTATGAAACATCTTTTAAGGAGGTGGTGAGGTTTTGAACTTAACATTTTGCTTTCCACACTGAGTTACAATAGGTAGTGGGTTACAATAGGCAACTAATGGAGATCTTCTAAAATACTAACAGCTTCTGGCTCCCATGAGCAATCAGACAGTTAAGTCCTATACAAGCTGTGAGCACATAAAAATGAAGAAAAATCGCATGGGGCAAGCAAAGAGAGATTAATATAAAACAGAACTTGAGGTGAGAAGAGAAAAAAGATGTTTAGAACAGTCTGGGAATCCCTGTAAGACAACATGGACTGCAACCAAAGACTCTAATACACTTTCACAACCTGTCTGATATAAGCATCAGGGGAAAGCTCTGGGTCAAGCAGCTTCAAGGTTGGATGCTTTGAGAGCTGGATGGATAATAGAGTTATGCATTCATCTTGACAAGATTTGATGACGTTCAAGCTGACTGTCTCCCAGTTAATCCTGCAGCCTGCACTGAGAGCAATCACAAGCTTCATCTTGGGTAATAAAGCCCATTCATATCAATAACATCACCCAAAGAAATATGAACACTGAATAAAATGGGATCCTAAATGAAGCCCTTTGAGATTTGTAGTGATAAACTGTAGTCGCAGAAAAACCGTTCCAAGCATCGTTAACAGAATTGCAAACACTGTCTGATCCAGGAGGAATAACAACAAAACATAATATTCACACACAGACATGCAGGTCATTGAAGATCTGTAAATGGGCACTCACCCTGATCCTGGCAAGGAATCAAACACACGGTCCTCTAGCACTTTTATATTCTCCATAGGGAGGTGCTTTTAAAGCTGAAAAGAGACCACCTTTTCAATTATTTAAAAAAAAAAAAAAGGATTCAGATCACCACTGTTTATTTCAGACCAGGCAGAAAGCTCTACAGGAGAAATGTTGTTAATAGCTATGATAGAATGTCAAATTACTTGGATTCCTAAGCAGCTGGTTTAATACGTAGCCTGTGTATAACTCACTAAACCTTAGCAACAGTTTATAAAGTAAATTGTATAAAAAGGAACTGTATAAAAGGAATTGTATAAAAAGGGATGGGTGCACTTTGGAAACTAAGGGCCCAATCCTAGAAGATGTTGAGTTCTTTGAAGAGATGTTGAGTCCCCTCCACTCCCATTAATGTCTATAGGAATTGAGGACACTCAACACCATGCAGGATCTGGCTCCAGATCAGTAGAAAGGGTAATATCATTTGAGACAAATGGATACAGTGATTTAGTTTTATAATAAAAATGAATTCTGTGCATTTATATAGTACGTTGTATGTTCACCCCTGCATAAATACTAACTCATGTCAAAGCTTCTCTATTAAATAAGTTAGCAGTCTTTCAGAGGAATTTGAGACCATGATTCCTGCTATCATAGACAAGTGCCAATAAGGATTTAGAAGAACATCAGTGGTTCTGAATAAAGAAACGCATTTGGCAACAGTGATGTTCTCTGACCTCCTACGTCTCTCTCCCAAAGAGAGACAGACAAGGTCTGTTTTTGTTAGGGCTAATTTGCTTGTTAAGTTTTCCATAATTTCCCTTGCATTTGCAGAATTAAATGACTTTTTACAGATGGAACACAGTGCTAAACTTTTCATTAAAATCCACACACTTTTCAGTTTCAATGTCAAAGATTTCCAAGGTGAAAATTAGTGATTCCTCTCAGGTGTAGGAGAGAACATGGTCCAATGAATATGGCATTGATCTGAGAATGAAGAAACCTGGGTTTTATTCCTGGCTCTGCCAATTACCTGGTTTCTGACTTGTATTAATTTAGAGGGAATAAAGGGCCCAAAGAGTCAAAGGTATTAACAAGACCCTCTCACTGTCTGACATTAAACAGTGTCAAACAAACAGGGTTGGGTTTACAGAGACGTCATCCTGCTTGCTACCATGTCAAATGCACCATTAAAAATCCTTTTACTAAAGATACAGAAAAAGAAGAAAAACAGTTATTAAAGCATTTGAAATGTAAAGTGTTAAGTTAGGCTGTCACTTTAACAACATCCCTTGTTCCCTTTAGCTGTAGAGCTTTTAGAAGGGGGAAAAAAAACCTTGTTTGACAGTCTGTTAGTTGGTTTTAAAGATGTTAGTAACTGCCCTTTTGGGGAAAAGAGAAGAAGTTAGTTGAGATGGCGGGAGCTGTTGTTTTTACTGTTGTTAAAGTCTGATCCCATTTCCTAGAAGGCAAAACAAGACACACACACACAAGGGGAAAGAGAAGAACAACAAAGATAAAAAATGCAACCTCTGTTTCTGGTGTTGACTCTCATGTGCAGCCTCAATGTTGGAAGAAAACAGGCCCAGCACACAGTTTTAATCAGCCACTCCAAGACCTGCAAACTCATGCCAGCATCAGGCTGTTTAAGGCATTGCATTTAGATGCCTTCCTGGTCACTGGCTTACAGCAGTGTTGCAAAATATATAGTCTTGGTTTGCTAAGCCAGAGCCTTACCAAACAGAAGGCAGAAGGAGACGGGTAAGAAAAGAATAAATAAGTTAGAGAAGGGAAAGGGCACACTGAATGGATGTGAATGTCTTACAAAGTCTTTCATCCCAGGTAGTGTTGGATTTAGCCAAAGCCGGTGGAGGAGGTGATGTCATCTGGGTCTTTCTCTCTCTCTGGCCTGGTCAGGCCAGGACATCTCTTAGGATTAGGAAGAAGAAGATCCACTGGTGTCACACTGGGTCCTGAGATCCCAGAAGATGGAAGGGGTGGCAGCCATGATGGTGAAGCTTGCTCCTTCCCCTTCTCTTTGTCTTTCAGTCAGCCAGCAACACAGTAGCCAGCGTACCCCCACAAAAAAGTTTCTTTGAGGATCCCAAAAGGGGAGTGATGGGTGGAATATCTTGTCCTCTTATTATTTTGTCCACCAACTGACACACCAATTTTGGTTCACTGATTTTTGGTTCCACACTTTTCTTGTTTACCAAGTATGATCTTACCAAAGTCCTTCAGTGATATCAGTAGGCCTTGTTTGGACAAGTTCAGTCTGTCTCTCTCATTTTTAAACCTTTTCCCATCAGTATTTGTTAAATTGACAATTAAGGGTAAATTTGTAGATCCAGTTGTCATAACAGACCTTGGACAAATTACTTAAGCTTTCTGCACCACATCTGTACAAGGGGATAATAACTCTCCTCCTTTGTAAAGTGCTTCTATGGATGAAAGGCACCACATAAGAGCTAAGTAGTATTACTGTTATCACAATGCCAACAAATTTTACCAAACAATGAGGATCAGAATTTCAGTTTTAAAATGGAATAATTGTTATTCATCCTAGAAAATAGATCTATATCGTTAATGATGTTAAACTGTGCTGGTCACATTTTTCAGAAGTTGTTTCTTATTTGTTGCAGTTGTATGAAAAAGTTGCTCTTCTTCTGACAAATTTAGGTAAGTGGTGATAAATATACAACTGAAATAATATTTTATTGATTTTGGTTTATACCTCAGCTCTTGCTTCATTCTAAATATTGAGCATGAAATTCTAGCTCCATTGAAGCCAACTGGAGTTTAGCCATTGACTTCACTAGGTGCAGGATTTCTCCCTGAATCAGTATCCCTGTCACATTTACAAAATGCTGCCTAGGTTAAAATAATACATGTTTTTGAAATATTGTACTGTGTTTCTAAGCACATTTATACCTGTGTTTATAGTTTTTCAAAATATCCGTCTATCAATACGACTTTTAATTTCAAGTCCCACCTTCAAACCTGACTGTTGCCTATTAACAAGAACACTGCTCTCTTTTCCCCGTCCTCTCCCAGCTATGTCCAGCCTGATTCCTGTCTAAGCTTTAATTCCTAGATACTATAGGAATGAAGCTCTGATCTGAGATGCTGCAGCTGGGAGAGGAAAAGGCTAATCTCCATTTTCAGTATGAACTATTATTTTATTTACATAACTGTGCATGGTGCTTTACAGACAAATTAAAGCAATGGGCCCAGATCCTTAATTTGTGTAACCTGTCGGCGCTCAGTTGAAGCCCATGGAGCTATGACAGTTTACACCTGCTAAAGATCTGGCCCACGATTCCTGTCCTAAATATCTTAAATGCTGAGGACTCAGCTAAGCATATGTTTACCACAGGGCCTGATTTTCAGAGATGCTGCCTACCCACAGCTTCTGTCAGCTTCAGCTAGTGTTGTGGGCACTCAACACTTCTGAAAATCTGGCCCATAGTGTGTATTACTGCGAGTACTCCTACTGAAGTCTGTGGGGCTACTCAGAATGGTAAATACCATGCCCAGTACTGGCAAGCATTCGCAGGACTGGGCGAGGTGTGTAGACATAGCACAACAAGTGTTGACTGTTTTAAATCTAGTTTTGAGCACTGCTCAGAATGGGAGTCAAGGGTCCGGATACTGTGGCTACCGTTCCCCACTCCTTCCTTATTTATCCAACTGTTTCAATGCATTTTGTCTAAATCCTAGAGGGTGAGCTCTCTGGAGCAGGGATTGCATTTGGGTTAGTATAGTGTCTAGTACAGTGCTATCCTGAGGCCTGTAGAGGTTCCCTGATGCTACAGCAATGGAAATAATAATTAAAAAGAACCATGAAGAAAGCATTTGTTTCAGTTGTGCGAAGTCTGCTTCAAGTTGAGAATATATCACGCTGCATACTAGTGTGCATTCTGCTAATCTAATTGTAGTAGACTGAAGAAATGAAAACAACAGAAGAGCAGCTCAGTTTATAGTACATGGAAGAATCCAGGAGTTGTCTATTTTGTGTCCAAATGAAGGAAATTGAATGTGCATGTTACCTCTAGCAAACTGGCAAACCATTTCTTATAATCACCTGTAATCTTGCCTATCCAGCTATAAAACATCAGATGAGGTTTGTAAGAGTTTTTACAAGCCCGCTTCCTGGGGATTATTTTTTTATACAAATTCTACTATCATCTTATAAATTGAGACCAGCAGGCAGCTTTGCCAGCTCTAAAACGTGCCTGCAGTCCCTCAGTGTAGTAAAACTCCTAATCTGATTAAACCTCTCAAACTCTGTTTTCTTTACTCACAGAGCAGCCTCGGACTGAGTCTGAGTGGGAGAACAGCTTCACTTTGAAAATGTTTCTTTTTCAGTTTGTCAATCTGAACAGCTCTACCTTTTATATAGCATTCTTCTTGGGAAGGTAAGAATCAGTATCTGCTCACTCTGTGCTTGGGACAGAGAGCAAAGAAGAAAATGATAATGCCATTAATGAAACAAAATGGGCCCATGTGATCACGCTTGCTCAATTGCAAAGTCCAAGTTAGCAAAGGGAAAAAGTTTAAATTTAGATTTTCCTTTAAAAAGGTATGGAATATGTAGATCCCATTCTCAGACATTTCCTTCATACTAAATTCTAAAAATTCCACTGCAGAGAACTAATGTCTTCAGCTGATAAGACATTTGCAGGTCGCTTTGCTCTACTTTTTATATGTATAATTTATACAGATAAAAGAAGAACTTAACGTTTTGTCATCTAAGTAACTTTTGGTTCACCTGATGTATACTTCGGCCAGTTTGCAGCAAATTCATAATTATTACAAGTGATGGAATTTGCTTTTTCTGCTGAAAATAAGATAAATCTTTGCATGTCTGTTCCTGTTTGTTCCCCACAGAAATCAGAAAGGCATGTGAGCAGATTTGAATTACCCATTAACTGAGCTAATTGTTTGAGCGAATACACAGTATAATTGTGAAAAATTTGCACCCTTGGTGAAAACATATTTTCACTGGATTCACAGGAAGCATGACACCAAATTTTTCATTATGTCAAAAGAAAGTGGACCAGATGGGGGTTTTGCATTTCATGGTCTCTTTCCAGCCAGTAATAACACATTGTAAAGCAGTTCAAAATGGAGCTTCAAAGCAAAATTCTCTTGACAGTGTTACTCAGTCTTGATATTCTGCTCTTCCTACCTGCTGAACATCAGAGAATGAAATATCAAGTATAAGAATGTAGGCATTTAGCTAAAGCACAGATGAAAATTTGCTTAGCTCTTAACATAAATTATATTAGAGATACTTCAAATCATTCTTCATAATTACATCTTTGATATTTAAATCAATCCTGTTTGGGAAAATGGAGTTAAAAATGTTGAGCTTTTTTCTAAGATTCTGAACAGAGATCTAGTAAGAAATAGCTGATGTTTGCTCTTATGTTGAAGATTTACAGGACACCCTGGTGCCTACTTGAGGCTGATAAACAGGTGGAGACTGGAAGAAGTGAGTATTCTGTAACTCTCAGGTTTTTAGGGGCAATCAGATTGAAGCCCATGGATGGCACAAGATGTGAGCAACGGCAGACTCTGGCCCCCTGCTTAGGTTATTTTGAATGTATCATTGAGTTTCCAGGAGCTCTCTGACACTACATCATTTATTGAATTCCTCTTCACCTGCTTCAAAAAGACATTTCCATATTGATAACATGTTTTTTAACCCTTAGCTTTTGGGGTCTATGTATCATATTTGGGTGACATTAATAAATGGCCTCAACTTGATTTCTCTTTTTTAATCATGTAAACAAATATCAGACGCTTTCTATTGTTCATCATCAATATGAATCAATTCAGATATGAATCTGAGTCATTTTCCACCTCTAAAATACTCTTTTCCACTCAGTCAAAAAATTATGAGGTCTATTTCTTGTTTCATTTGTTAGGATATAGATATTCAGGCCTGTCTGTAAAGGCCTATACTCTAAGAATTTAGGTGTATTCTTATCATTTAGCTAGTTATAGAGGTATAAAAGAAAGAATCAAAATCACTGTCTGCCGGTGTAAGGGCCTTCTCTTACTGTGACAGTCTGACGCCCTGTTCTGAGGCTAAGGCCTTTGACTAAGCAGCAGAGGCAGCCATAAGCTAGGAATCAGAGTAGCAGCCATGTTAGTCTGTATCCACAAAAAGAAAAGGAGTATTTGTGGCACCTTAGAGACTAACAAATGTATTAGCGCATAAGCTTTCGTGGGCTACAGCCCACTTCATCGGATGCATGGAATGGAACATACAGTAAGAAGATAGATAGATAGATAGATAGATATATGTACACACACACACACACACAGAGAAGGTGGAAGTTGCCATACAAGCTGTAAGAGGCTAATTAATTAAGATGAGCTATTAGCTTCAAAAACAGACTCCCAGGAGAAACTGCTGAGCTTGAATTAATATGCAAACTAGACACCATTAATTTGGGTTTGAATAGAGACTGGGAGTGGCTGGGTCATTACACATATTGAATCTATTTCCCTAAAGTTAAGTATCCCCCCACCTTCTTGTCAACTGTCTAAATGGACCATCTTGATTATCACTACAAAATTTTTTTTCTCTTGCTGATAATAGCTCATCTTAATTAATTAGCCTCTTACAGTTTGAAAGGCAACTTCCACCTTCTCTGTATGTATATATATATGTATATATCTTCTTACTATATGTTCCATTCTATGCATCCGATGAAGTGGGCTGTTGCCCATGAAAGCTTATGCTCTAATAAATTTGTTAGTCTCTAAGGTGCCACAAGTACTCCTGTTCTTTTTTCTATAAGCTAGGAAGTGTATGGTCACATCCTCACATTCCAAACTAGTCACATTGAAATAAGGCAATCTGGGGCTGTTAGAAAGGTGATCTGATCTATCATCTCCAGAGAAAGGGAAGAGCCTAGAAGATGTAAAAGGAAATTTAGTTGATAGTTTTCTGTTCGGTAAGAACTCACTTATCAATAGACACAGCTGGGAAACCCTTATGTCTTTATAGATGTAGTTGTGAAATCCTCATTTCTGTATTGTTTTGTCATTATAGTTCCCACTTTGCTATTGTTTATTTGCATGGCCTCTGTCTGGTTCTGTGATTGTTTCTGTCTGCTGTATAATTAATTTTGCTGGGTGTAAACTAATTAAGGTGGTGGGATATAATTGATTGGATAATCATGTTACAATATGTTAGGATTGGTTAGTTAAATTTCAGTCAAATGATTGGTTAAGGTATAGCTAAGCAGAACTCAAGTTTTACTATATAGTCTGTAGTCAGTCAGGAAGTAAGGGGGGGAATGGGAACGGGGAATGGGGTTGGGGGAATTGGAATCATGTTTTGCTAAGGGGGAGGGAATTGGAATCATGTTTTGCTAAAGGGGGGAATGGGAACAGGGAATGGGAACAGGGACACAGGCAAGGTTTTGTGGTGTTGGAGCTGGGGCGGGGGACACTAAGGAAGGAAATTGGAATCATTGCTCGCTGGAAGTTCACCCCAATAAACATCGAATTTTTTGGGTATTGTTGCTCTCTGTTCATGCGAGAAGGACCAGGGAAGTGAGCGGGTGAAGGAATAAACCCCTAACAGCATTATTGACCTGCAGCCTCAGATCTGAAGCAAACAAAATCCACTCAAAAATAAATCAAAGAAACTGAGCAAGCCTTCCAGTAGTAATAGTAATCAGTGCTTACAAAATACAACGGTGAGGCATGAGGGGGACTGGCTTTGCAAGTCACACAAAAAACAATCCCATTTTTTATAAATCTATTCAGAGTTCAAAAATAGCTGATGGATATTGTAAATGAACAGCTGGCAGCGTGTGAATAAGTCAGAGTCTCCAATGTTAATATTTGATCACCCAAGTCACATGGTTTTGTCCCTGTTTTTTTAGCTGAATGACAAACATTTTCACAAATGAATGACAAATGGCAAATCTTGAGTAACAGGTTGCATGCTGGAATTCATGATCACTTCCAAATCCCCCACCCACTGGCCTTAATAGAATAGAGGTTATCCAAATACTTGTGAATAATGACTAAGATGGATCCTACAATTGACAATACATGTTCTTAATGCAAGTTGCTTATTCACACATCAGTTTTTTTTATTATTTGAGCAGCTGTACAGTCCAGGGAACAAAAAAAGTCATAGGTGGACAGATGGAAAGTTAATGTTCTCAGTCTCCTCCATCAAAATAGACCTACTCCAAAATGTAGCCAAAGCAAAATCGTGTGTGTGTGTGTGTATGTGTGTGTGTGTGTGTGTGTGTGTTTGAAATAAGTGAGCTAGCTGATATATTCCTTGATAGTTCAGTAAATGCCTTTCTCAAGTTGGGCTGCAAAAGACAATGTCTGGCAAAAAGATGCAGTATTATTCTTTCCAATATAGAGGGCCCATTCTTATCAACGATATCTCTGACCGGCCTTATTTAGGATTTAGACTAGACGACCCTTGCAGTCCCTTCTATCACTATAGTTCTATGATTCTATATACATGGGTAAGAATAAAATATCGAGATATATATCAAAAACAACTTCTGACAAGCCCTTCACTGATACCAGGGGTAAGGGCATTGTCCTACTGAGATCCCCTTGTCCAACATCAGTGGCCAAATTCAGGCCTATTGTAAGCAAGTGAAACACCACTGACTTTGATAGAGTTGCTCCTGCTTACCCTCGGGCTGAGTTTACTCATGTGACTCACTCCTGTCAAAATATAAAGATGATTTTAAATCAAAAGAGGGATTATCTACTTTCTCTGTTTACTTTAATTTAACCTCTTTATAATGCTGAGTGGGGTTGATTTTTAAAAATCTATTTGCCAACCTTGTTGACTTAAGGTAGGCTTTGGTGAAGTCAATAGAGAAAAATAAACAGGGAAATCTCAGCTCACTGTACAATGGAAAACAGTTCCCATCAGAAGGTCACTATATGAATTATTGTGACGTTTTTCTCTACTTAAATGAAACCGGAATATTTCTGTATCAGAGAAGAATTATTCTGGTCTGTCTATACTGCACACAATGTTCACTGATTCAGCTTTGATACCCCTGTTTATGTCAGGATAGTCAGCTGTGCAAAATGTTGGTCTGAGAACAGTAAGGGCTAATCAGTGCAGTGAGTTCTCAAACCTCTCTACTTCTTACAATGATTGATGAAAGTATATGGAGCTACACCAATTTACAACAGCTGAGCATCCAGCCAAGTGAAATCCAAATCACTCCAGATTGAAGCAGACACTCAGGAAGAAAAACTGGCAAGCAATCATTTAATGTCCAGAGTCTTAAGTATCTCATAACAAGACATTAACTTGAGTCAAATACTAAATAATAATAATAATAATTAATAATGTACAAATACTGCATTTTAGGTGTAAACTAACTGTCTGAGGTGTCAACAGAAATTTCCTCCCCATTCCTTACAGCATACACTGCCTGATCCAAAGCTTACTGAAGTCCATAGAATAACTCCCTTTCTCTTTAATAGGTTTTCAATCAGACCCATACAGAATTACACAGTGGGCTATTGTGGCCACAGTGTTGCCTTCATCCTAAGCATCTGGTTCTGGCCAAGGCAGGATGCTAGAGATTGGACTTAAAGAACTTACCTGCTCCTTCAGGTTTACGTTAAAATAGTAAAAATGAAAGCTTCTTTAAAAGTTTTATAAATTACTATACATTCATTTCTGCAAATCCAAAAGGATTAAAAGAATCAGAATGATTTCTGCTTCTTTAAACCACTGTTTTTTTTTTCTTTACTCTGCAGTGCCACCCTAGTGGATGCCTTATTGATCTCTGTATGCAAATGGGTATTATAATGGTGCTAAAGCAGACCTGGAATAATTTCATGGAACTGGGCTACCCGTAAGTAAATATACTGCCTACCTTTACGTAGGTCACAGAAAAATATTATTTTCATTATTACCTTCTGAGTTTCTTAAATGGGAGAAGAATACAATAGTAATTATAGTATCACACCTAAACACAGTGGAGAACTCTTCTCAGATATTTCCAGATGGACAGTGTTATTTACATAGGACAAAGTCTACAGAAATGAAAATAATATAAATAATACATTATTAGAAAATATTTCATTTTTAAAGTTGTGGTATTTTCCAATTTAAAAACATCTGTTTCTGTACCGCTGCTCTGTTCCCTACACTGAAATGTTAGATACATGCTTTTTAGTTTATACCACTAAGTTCTAAGTAGATTTCTCCTTGTTGGGTGACATAGGACACCTGAAAGGTGAGGTGTGAGCCAGAAAAAGTGCATTGCTGGCACACAGGCAGTCAAAAATGTGCAAGTAGACATATGTACTGACCTGGCCACATTTACTGACAATGTATATAGTAACACTAGGCTTTGTTCAAGCTAAAAGGGACTACTGTTATTTCATTTAACGGTGCCTGGGTTTAATATTTAATGGATTGTTATAGACAATTGGCAATACAGATCAATGGAGTGGCAGGCCGCTGGGGGCAAATTAGCAAGAGAGAGAAAAATCAGCACTGTAAATATTTGTATCCTTGCAAAGTACCACTGTTCACATCAATTTGCCGTGCTGCAGAAACCCCAGCAGAGGCAGTGCAGTGTAATGGAGATTTCAGTCTCTGGGGCTGCAGAAGCCATATCACATTCACAGCAATTCTTTTAAGCAGCCTTACCCTTGCTAAACAGAACCGTGTAGATGTTGTACCAATAAAATAAAAACCAGCAGGATCTTCTTAAAGGGGAAAAGGCAAAATACCACATTTATTGTGAATACAGAAAGAATCATAGTAAGCAGTTAGTTATAGTTATAACATTCCATTCAATCTCATATTTATTCACACATTCATTCATACAAATACACACACACACACACACACACACAGATTCTGCAAGGTTGTTATCATAGTTACCAGCCTTAGAGTTGCTCATGCCAAGCCACTGGCCAGGTGGCCTGGACATGAGGAGGGAGCAGGGCCTTGTCAGATGCTCATCTGACGCTCCTGGAAGTTGGTTTGCAGAATCAGACCCCAAAGTTCTCACTTTCTAGAGTCCATTTTTATAGGAATTTCTTCCTATGCCAGTCTATGGGAATTGCTTCATCATGCTGTTCCTGAATCAGTCAGCAGATAGCACATTCCTGACGGCTCCATGCTGCCAGATGTTATCTTGTTCTTTGGTTCTCCCATTCTTGAGGCTGTTGGGTGGATTCCAGTCTGCACTCCGGGGGTCCTCGGGTTATTTCCACTTGACGCCTTCTTCAGCAGATGGACATTGGATTCTTAGGCTGGCACCTCCCTGATCATTCAGTTATTATCCACACCAAGCATCCATCCACATACATCCTCTATCTCTATTTTAATCACAATTGTTAATACAACAAAAGGGCGGGAAGTCTCTGGGTGCTGTTTCTGTTGTTAGAGTATTGCTTTGAGTCTCTCTCTCTGTGAATTGCTTTGAGAACAGACTCTGTCTTAGAATGTACTAACACAATTAGCAGCTTGCAAGTTTCACACATAGAGGGAGAGAAACAGTACCAAAAACCAAGACCTCTTAATTAATAATACCCTGGAATTTAAACTATGGGGAATCAAACTCATTTGTGGTTTTAATACAGAACTTCTTTAATATGATCCAACATAGGCTTTTGAATAAATTGCCCCAAAACACTACCTACTTGGCAAGCAAGGTGTTGAGTACTCTCTTCTTTCCTTCTGTTTCACAGTTCTCTCCTCAGCATGCCATGATGCTGTAGCAAACAGTCACATTCAGCTCCAGTTTGAGGAATTACTGTACTTAGAAAAAACAGCCACAACTTTGTTGCTTCTCTTTTCACTCCCCACATCTTTTGTCAGTTTTTGACACTCTGGTTCAACCTTCTGGCATCCATTAACGATTACCTTGAAACCTAATGAAAAGCCTAGAAGGAGATCACAGAAGAGGTGAGCAGGAGGTGGGAAGAGATCAGTTTAAAAGGGTGCAAGATTTAATAGAAGTAATGCATAGGTGCTGGAACTACGGGTGCAGGGGGTGCTGCGGCACTCCCAGGGTTGAAGTGGTTTCCATCATACAGGGTTTACAGTTTGGTTCAGTGGCTTGTAGCACCCCCACAATACAAACTGTTCCAGCGCCCTGAAGTAGTGTCTGTTGGTGCCTCCACTTTAGAGTTTCAGCACAAAGTCGAGGAATTGTGAGGAGTTTGCACAGCTGGTACCTGTTCTAGGGACAGAGGCATTCAGTCAGGGCCGTCCTTACCCATACGCAAAGTACGCAGCTGCGTAGGGCACCAGGAAATTTGAGGCACCAAATTGCCCCAAATTTCCTGGTGCCCTATGCAGCTGCGTGCTGCTCCAGTGGCCAGCCCGATCCCCCGGCTGGCTGAGCTGCCCAGGAAATCTGCCCCCGCCCCTGCTCCGACTCTTCCCCATGGCCCCCACCCCTGCTCCGCCCCAGCCTTGCCTCTTCCCACTCCTGCTCCGCCCCCACTCCACCACTTCCCCAAAGCTCCCGCCCCTGCTCCTCCTCTTCCCGCCTCTGCTCCACCCTGCCCTGCCCCCACTCCACCCCTTCCCCTGAGCAACATCCCCTGAGACTGGAGCAGGGGTCGGGCACTCCCAGCACTCATCGGGCGGCGGGAAGTGGAGTGAAGTGGAGCGCCGGTGAGTGCTGGAGGGCGGTTCCCCATTGCCCCCCCAATTCCCAAGGCTGGGAGCCAGGGCCCAGGGGAGCAGAGCGGAGCGGGCTGGGGCCGGGTCACTCCACTTCCTGCCGCCCTGTGAGTGCAGGGTCGGGCCTGCCCTGCACTTATTGGGCGGCAGGAAGTGGAGCGGAGCAACCCAGCCCCAGCCCGCTCTGCTCCGCTGGCTCGTGCTGGGGGACAGTTTCTCCCCTGCCCCCCAAGCCTGCTCCTGCCCCCCCTCCCGTGGAGGCCTAGAGCCAGCTGCCCCCCACCCTGCAGGGGGGGCTGTGTAGGGCACCAAAATGTCTAGGGATGGCCTTGCATTCAGTCTCTAATGCCGTGGCTCCCTCCCTCTATCCCCATGAATCCCCAGCAGGCATGAACCTCTCCTTTTTCTGCCAAACAGCCTAGCTAGGAGTTCTCTGATCTTCCAGTTAAACGACACATTGTGTCTGGCCCTGCTTGGGTGCCCAAAGGGTTCAGGGAGGATCCTCTACCCCTTCTGTACAGAGGCCAGCTACAGTCTGGGTGGGCCCTGCGCAATGCAGCCATTGCGCTATACTAGGGCTGATGGAGGTGGAAGCTTCCCCAAAGGGTGTTCACCAATGAGAGGAGTCCGGCGCCAGGGAGCTCCCACTCCAGCATGTGCTCCCCCAGAGCCCTTGGAGAAAATCTGGGTGAGTCAGGGCCTCTTCCAAAGGTTCCTGTTTCTATATGATTTTTATACTGGGAACCTGAAAGTAGCCTATCATGACTCTCACTGAGGTGTGACATTAACCTGGGTTTTGAAATTTCTGCTGTAAAAATGCCAGAGAGCTTTAGGAACCAGACACCAGAGAGTAGCACTGCAATGCTGCAGAATTCTAGGGGCCTGGATGATAAGCAGTTTATGCTGTAATGGTTACATGCTTTGACACACACATGCAAGGCGAAGGCATGAAGCTCAAGTGATGCTTCAGCTTGATCGGAAGATCACCCTCTGCAGAAGCTCAGCACGATCCCCATGGAGTTTTCCAAACAAACATCAGCAATGTGTGATGGGATTGAGAGGAAAAGACAGCACAAGGAAGCGGTGGAAAGGCCAAAAATAGTTTGGGGAACTGTTAGTGAAGTAACAGAGAGAACGTCACAGTCAAAACTGAAGTCAAATCTTCAGCTGAAGATTTCTAGCTGATCTAAAAATGGACGTCAGTTCTGTTTCCCTGTCACACACCCAACCCCGTGTACTGGAGAAGTCATATTTCAGAATAAATGTGCAAATAATTAGGAAATTATGTATAAATTATTGACTTGGTTTGGGGATGGGAACTTACTTCTAAGGAGAAAATAAAGCATATGTACATATGCAAGCCACACTACCCTGTTTTAACTTTTTACATCAACTGCTATTCCGATGACAACAGTGTGTCCACAATCATTAGCCTGCCCACTTGTCTCTGCCTATTCTATTACTGAACATTCAGTTCCAGAGGACACATTTTCATTCAAAGAGAACCATACATCTCCCTTCTTAGCTCTGATTGACTCAAGCAATTTGCCATTCTAGGCAAGGAAGAGGACGGAAGTTAAATCAGAAATGGATATATATCCCATTTCCTCATTAAGAACATCTGTATCTGAAAGACAATCCAGAAACTTTTTCCCATCTTAGAGATAAAGGATAGCATTCTGTGCTACCAGCCACATTTGTTACTAATATCAAGCTCTCTCATACATTGATACTTTCAGTTCACAAAATATATTGTCTAGTCCAGCCTAGCCTCTCCCTCAGGATTAATAAGTAATCCAGCTAAATTTGCCAGTTGATCCTTTAATACAGCTAACACTCAGAGAATGGAATAGAGAAAGGGGTGGTCCCATGTGTCTTCAGATTCTCACATATCTCTGTTGCTAATTGGGAAATGGTAGCCAATAACAGATTCAGCCCCATATTAAGGTTCTTCCACCTGCAGTTTGCACATGCACGCAAGACTTCTATGTAGTCACTTAACCAGTGTTAAGGCTTCTAATTTAAAATCCTGAATAACCAATAAATGGGTGTTTACAATTTATTTGAATATGCAGGTTAATTCAGAACTGGTGGACCAGGAGAAAATTACGACAAGAACATGGCTCACAGAGAAAAGCAAGCTTCCCACAGTGGGAAAAGGACTACAATCTTCAGCCTATGAATGCTTATGGACTCTTTGATGAATACCTAGAAATGAGTATGAAAATGTTCCGATTTTACTCTTTTATGCTAGATTTTAATGTCAGTTCATTTTTTGTTTTTTTAAGCCCAGAGGGCTGAATTGTTTACTTAAAAACTCCAAAGTACTGCTGTATGAAACTAAAGAAACTGCAGAACGATTTCCATTATCACAAGTCAGGTGAAGAGTTGGGAGTGAATTGTTAAGAACCAAACCCAGGCAATATTTCTAATAATGCCTCATGTGATGTACTAAACTCCCATTTGTGAAATGTTTTATCTGATTAGCTGCCTTCATGGAGAGAGAGGGATATTCTCTAAATTGCAGCCTCAAAATTCTTATTCCCTCAACTGTATAGTTTCTTGAGTCATTGTTATTCCTTATAAAGCAAATTCTACTGAACCCTGATAAGGTCTTAATGTCAAAGCACTTACTTTTCAGCTGTCTAGCATGTGACTATGATAGGGTATATTTAACATTTACTAACTAATATTTACAAAATTGCTTGCTTCTAAGGAACTCTGCTTTCATAAAACGAATGAAGGACAAAGGACTTTTGTCTGTCTTGACTGAGCTGCACATGTAGTGGATAGAGCCCTCTCTTGACTGGTGCAATTCCACTGAAATTAAGGAGATCTGTGGAAGATCAGCTACTCTGAGAAGCAGGCCCTAAACAGTTATGTCAACTGTAGAAGGGCCTGCTTTGCTCCTGCCTTTTTGCACCACCGAAAATGGCTCAGACTTTTATGGATTGTGTATCCACCAAGCCATTTATCTGAGTTCCCTCCACCAACAACTTTACAGGCCCATGCAACAGTACTAGTTACAATAGCCTCTGTGCTTTAGGCCCTCAGGACCTGAAAGAAGCATCTGTGAGGATGGACTCAGCAGGGGGCTTGCCCTGTTCCTTCACCCTCCAGGTCTCCTTTCTATGCCTCCTTATCAGTCTTGAGCTGATGGACTCATTGGCTTATTAGCTCCCCCAGAACACCTGTCTGCTTAGCTAATTATCTTTAATTACCCTAATCAGCTTCTTCTAGTGGAACTTGTGAGTGTCGGAATGCAGGTTCACCTGTTAACTCCCTACACTCTGTTGCATCAATGTTTTCAAAATGTAGATACCTAAATAGAAGTGGCCTAATTTTTGGAGGTGCTGAAATTAAAAAAAAAAATTAACATCAGTTAAACAGATCACAAAACAGCTCTCAAAACATATAGTTCATCAGCTTTTGTCTCTCTGTAGCAAGGAGCACAGATATAGTTCTCTAAGCTCTCAGGAAATTCAACCATTTGTTCTCTCACCCTAGTGCTGATCTTTTGGAAGAAGAATTGCTGTATTGATACCACTAGCACCACAGAGTGATAATATGGTACTTCATAATGAGCAAGTTTACTAGCTACATGGCATCTTAGTAGCCTGGCATTTTGCATAAGATCTTGAAAGTAAATACAGTATTGAAAACACTAACCTTTTATTTCCTTTCCCAGTTCTTCAGTTTGGATTCACAACCATCTTTGTGGCAGCTTTTCCACTGGCACCACTTCTGGCCTTACTTAACAATATTATTGAAATCCGGCTTGATGCATACAAATTTGTCACACAGTGGAGGCGGCCATTAGCCTCAAGAGCCAAAGATATAGGTGAGCTGTTTATGTGTCTCTTTAAAGACAAAGTATTGGTCATCTGATGAACCCAATGACTTTAAATTAAAGTTACAAATCATTAATAGCTTTAGCTTTGACTCGCATCCTCTTTCTCATTATACAAAATAATGCACAATTTTGGCTCCTAAAAAAAAGGTGTAAACATTCAACGCAGGTTTGTTTTTATCACCTACTAATCCAAATTGGAAAATAGGTTTTAAATGACTTGGTGGATGACTTATCAGTCCAGATTTTTAAACTAAGTGTTCAGTGATCTCTGCTGGGTTTTCCTTTGGTGGATGCACTTTCTTAGTAGCATGCAGCTGTTCACTTTGAATATAATAACGAGTTAGAGAAATTTAACAAATGATGCAAATTGAAGTAATTTCCATCTCCGAGAAGCTTTGCACAGTTTCTACTCACCCAGACAAAAGTAGGTTTCCCTTTGCCTGGTTGAGAAAACTACCCTCATGTCTACAAAAGTCTTTGAAGTGCTGAGAATATTGCCAGGTTTCAGAGTAGCAGTCGTGTTAGTCTGTATCCACAAAAAGAACAGGAGTACTTGTGGCACCTTAGAGACTAACAAATTTATTTGAGCATAAGTTTTTGTGGGCTATAGCCCACTTCATCAGATGTATAGAATGGAACATATAGTAAGAAGATAGATATATACAAAGGTGCCACAAGTACTCCTGTTCTTTTTGAGAATATTGCAAACTTTCCAGGACTGACTAAAGGATAGGGGACTCCACCTACTGGCTAAATCTCCTCAGAGTGGCTAGTCTCTAGCTGGCTGGTAATAATAAAAAATAATAAAAAAAAATAAAAAATAATCTTTTCACATTCTTACAATTCAATCATGTTTATGATTTTAAAATGTAATTTGAAGAATAGAGATTTAGGAAACATCCATTTATGACCAGATTCTGACCCTCTTATTCACAGTGAATAGCACCTTACTCCAATCCCAGTTCAGCAAAGTATTTCAGCATGTGCTCAAGTGCTTTGCTGAATCAGGGCCTCTATGAACAGTTGGCTTCAGTGGGACTGCTAGCAGAGTAACTAAGCATGGGTAAAGGTATGGCCTCTTTGAGTGCTCCATCTTCAATGTGAAAAATTGTGAACCTGTCCTAAGTGACAGGAAAGGAATGTCAGTCACCAGTTGCTTGGTGGGGGTGGTTTTCTAATAATGGATAAGCAAAATTGTACTCCTAGCATTTAAAGAAGTTTCAGATGCTTTCTTAAATCAGGTCGCCTAAGAAGAATGGTCTTCTACAGATTTCAGTGTATTTTGCTGTCCAAGAATTCTTAGATTGTCTCATTATCTTTTGGGGAATATTGTACTGGTGTGTTCCTCTAGTAATGGTTTGGTCCATGGTTTTTATTAATCATAAATATTTCCCCATCATCCCTAACCAAAACAATCATAGGTGTTAAACATAGGTCAGTTCTTCACATCATACACTTCTCTTCTTTGATTCCCGTCCGTCAGCTCAACAGCAACCATAGGGCTGAACGAAGTATTTCCACCACTTTCTTGTGCTAGCTTCACGGATTTGTTCAACTTTCATACACCTAACTTATTAATGACTATAGTTTAACAAAGAATCATGCCCAAAGAAGAAACACTTTTTTTTTGCAATGTCATGGATCAAACGTTAAAAAAGAAACCTTCAGTCTTGTCTTATTAAGTTCCATGAAAGTTCTCCTAATGACTTTCACTGTGTGCACGCCCTCTTAATGAAACTACGATCATTATGGAAGATAAAAGGCACTCACAGTGCAGGAGTGCTTTGATGCTTGCTACTTTTTAAAAGTATTTTAGAGCTGGATAAGCAATGACACCTCTCTTCCATCATAGGCATGGAACCTCAGGAAGAACCGCTATATCAATGTTCTTGGCTAAGATTCATGCCCTCACTATTCATGCATGATGAACATAAATGGTGGCTTGGCTAGCTATATTCATGCTCATTTGCTGGGATGGCATTTTGCCTGCTCACCAATTGGAAGACCTCACTCTAGTACTATGTAATGATGGGTTCATTCTGTCAGCCTGTATATCATTGCAAGCACCATTGCTTCCTCAGGAAAAAATCCAGCTGTGACATTATCTAGTGCTAGGCCCACATGTCTCCTAACATTTAAATAAATACACATGTTGATGCTTGCATGGCTCAGAAAGGAACATGCAAAATGACTGAGATAGGAAAAGCCAAGAATTCCCAGGCACGTTGCATGCAATATTTAAACTACTTTAATAATTGTCTTCCCTGAAACTAATGCAACATTTTCTATATTGGATAGGAATTTGGTATGGAATTCTGGAAGGCATTGGAATTCTCTCTGTTATCACAAATGCATTTGTTGTAGCTGTGACTTCAGATTTCATCCCTCGACTTGTTTATGCTTACAAATATGGACCTTGTGCAGGCCAAGGAGAAGCTGGACAAAAGTAGGCTTTCTTTAAGAAAATGTTAATGTGCATGAAAATCTCTATTTCCTGGAAACATAAATAGCATTACTGTCTCCATATTTACAGATTCCACTAACAAGAATGTTCTCCAGATTGCACTGCCATAGTAATTAATACTTTTGAGTATCAGTAATACAGTCTGTGAGTAGCTGGGATTTATGATCTTAACTCAGGGAAAAAGTTCTGGATCAGTTATAGAAGGTTCAGTGGCTACAATAACATGCTATTATCATGATCAATATATTGGCCCAGATCACCAGCTGGTGTACCTTGTAAATGTGTAGTCAAAGGAACTATACTGATTTTCACCAGTTGAGGAGCTGGGCTGTCATTTGTAGCTTATTCACTAAACCTCTTTCTGCTGATGTAGGATTTTACAAGTATTAATCCAAGAAAAGTGCAGAGTCTAATCAGAAGAGGCAACTCCAGCTTCATCAGCCAAGATATAATTACTGAGCAAAATAACTTCTGTACTCCTTTAAAAAAGACAGAGCTCTTATATTAGGGCTTTTGAGAGGCAGTCCTGAATTGAGTCCATGCTGTTCTTCTGCATTTTCATTCCAGTGTTGAGAAACACTAAATTACAATAGTGTGTGCACTATTAGCCTGCAACTGGGTATAATTTAAATTGAATGGCATCTTAAATCTAGTGTGCTGGGGTATAGGGGAGAAACCCTGAATGAAATCGTTGGTTTCATCCAACCCAACTGAACTCCAAATGTTCAAAATTTGCAAATAAGCTCCTCGCCACTCTGGCAATAAGTGCTGCACTACATTAAAAGCAATAAGCTAAGCAAGCTAAGCAATACGTAGCAATAGTTAGCTTGCATTCTGCTATCAGATATAAATTTTTCACTTCATAGCTTTATTTTCCCTCCCAGAAAGAGCGAAGGGGATTCTTTTTGTTGTTGCTTTTAGCCATATTTTGGATGTCAGTGCAGTTTAGTCACACCAATGGAGACAGTTCATGATTGGCAATGCTACTTAACTCATTATCCTGTCAAGGATTTGGCATTTTCGTATATGCTGGAAAAATTGTTCTGTTTCCATAAAGAGTTGTAGAAAATCTTTCAGTTGGTACAGTGTTAGGTTTGATGCTGATCATTGGTGGGCATGTGCCTCTCCTTGCTGCCATTGTGTTTACGCGTAGGGCATGTAAGTGGTGTCAGCTTTTTTTTCTGCTTTATTAATTTCTTTCTTACCACAGTCCCAGAAAATGCATTTTGAAATCACATTTGATAAGGAAGACAAAATAGTGCACTTGCTTTCAAATTAGTTCTGTTTAGAGACATTGGCCTGGCTTAAGGAAACAGATCTTAAACTGTTGTATTTTAAAGCCATTCACACAGTTTTCCAGCAATACGTTAAATAACATAAGAGACCAAATCTAATTCCTCAGAAGAGACCAACTTGGCTAATGCCTTTCTATGTCAACATTGCAGATGTAGTACATTGCCATCAAGATAGTAGAAAACTATTCTTAAATTCTACAGGAATAGATAGTTCCCAAAGTTCAAGAGTCTGGACCATGTAGCATAGGATATTTTAACAGTTTTGGGAGGAAAGGCATCAGAAAAATCATGCAGGATGCGAAAGAAAATATTGTAATTAATTTCAGCTCTATAGCTGCTTTAACTGTAGGTCTTGAGCCATAGCCAGCTGGAACACCATTCAGGTACTAATCTGGTGGACACACAATTTCCCACAGAATTTAAGCTTACATTTTAAAAATAAACAACCAGTTTTACTGGTTGGGAAAAAACCTTACAAACGAGAACCCATGCAATTCCACCTTAGTCTGTTGACAAACAATTACTTGGAGAGATGTGAACTGACTTGTTTGATAATTCTAAACCCTAATAATGGAGATCTAAGGCACAGCCTAAACTAGGAAATTGGCTACATCCTAAAATGGTTTTCAGGAAGCAATCTTGTAAAACAGTTCAGGTTACACCAGGGTGCTGGCTGCAGCCTGCCAACATCAATACAACATAAAACAGTGGTTGAAAACCAGTTTAAAAAGATTCTCAAGCCTGGGTAGCCTGGCTAGGAGGCCACCAGACTCACTTCAGACAGGCTACCAACTTGCTATCGGATGGCCACTATCGGTTTGTAGTCACTGTCAACCTTGGATTGTGTTCGGTTTACTGAATTAAGTCATTTAGGCTTGAGAATGGCTTTCATCTACTGTTTAAAACAGATTAATCCTCACAGGTCAGCACTGGCTAACACATCAGTACAACCTGAATAGTTTTCCTGAAAAACGTTAGCCATTTTGTAATATAGAGGGGGATAAAAAAAATCTCAATATTGTTCACTATTTCATTGATGATCACTTCTGAAGAAACATTCAACTAACATGCTGATCCAGCAGGGCTGGCCTTACCATGAGGCGAACTGAGGCGGCTGCCTCAGGTGCCAGACTGTTTTTTTTTTTGGGGGGGTGCCACTAGGACCCAGAGTGTAGAAAATTGTGTCTGCTGCTGGTGCATATGTATTCTCTCTGCTCTAGATGCACAGAGATGGTGGGGTGCTGTGCTGGAGGAAGGAGGGCACAAGAGACATATCAGGCAGGCAGGAGAAAAGGTGAGAGGGAATAACAGAAAGCAACAGGAGCTGCAGGGAGAGAGAGGAGGAGGAGGAGCCTCTTATGTACCTCTCTCGCACCCCCAGGAGCCTGGACTGATTAACACCAGCTTCTCAGGGAGCTTCCTGTTTCCTGCTGCTTCCCTGAACGCACTTGAGGAGAACAGGCAGTCAGCTGAAGTAGCAGGAGCCAGTTAGGCCCTTAAGATGCTGATATCTTCCCTCATTCAGGCCATGCTACCAGCCTGCTTATTTGTCCCCTTCAACTGAGTGTTGAGAGCCACTATAGTTGGCACAGAACAGCAGTCATGAGTGAAAGAAGAAAACGCCCCTCTGGGGCAGCATTCAGAAAAAGAAAGAAAGCAAAGGAAGCTTTTCTATCTAAGCAGGAAGGCGCTCTCCTGAGATACATAGACACAAATGCTCTCGGTCAGCCTTCCGGCCCCAGTGAGGACATGAGTGGTGAGGCAATGCCTGATATTCCAGTTAGCTGGAGTGCAGGTGACCTGGCAGCTACTGCAGCATCCATATCTCCATCTCAAATGGATGTAACCATGCACATTCCTGAAGAAAAGTATAGATCAGAGAAGAGTGTGGTGGAGGCACAAGAAACAGCTGCTGCTGAGTTTAGTTCCTTAAGTCTAGATGATCTAGGACTGTGGACCCACTTGAGCAGTAGCCTGAGGGACTTCCTTGTACTGCATGAGCCACAGCAAGTGAAAAACTTCATGTTCCCCAAAGACAATGAAAATAGAAGTTTCCATCCAACACATTACTGGCGTGAAATCCCCAATGGTGACAAAGTGGAGAGGCCATGGCTTATCTACTCAAAAACCCAAAATGCTGCATACTGTTTTTGTTGCAAACTCTTCCAGTCTAATGTTCCAGCCACATTGAGTTCCACAGGAACAAAGGACTGGAAAAATCTGGCTAGAAATCTGGCATGCCATGAGAAGGCAGCAAATCACCAGAGAACATTCCATAGGTGGAAAGAGCTTGAGAGGAGACTAAGGTTAAAGGCCACCATAGATGATCAGCATCAAGAGAAGATTGCATCAGAGTCTCTTTACCGGCAAAACGTTCTGAAAAGGCTCATTGCCATTGTGAGAATGCTTGCTACCCAAAACCTAGCACTGCCTGGCACTTCAGACCAGCTGTATGTGCCAAACAATGGAAACTTCCTTAAAATTGTGGAGCTGATGGCTAAGTTTGATGCTGTACTCCAGGAGCATCTAAGAAGAGTCACCACCCAAGAAGCGTACACACACCACTATCTTGGAAACAATTCAAAATGAGATCATACAGTTACTGGCAACAAAAGTCAAACAGAAGAATGTGGCAGATCTGAAGTCAGCAAGTTATTACTCTGTTATTCTGGATTGCACACCTGACATCAGCCATATGGAACAAATGACTTTAATGGTACGTTTTGTATCAACAACAACAGAACCTAGTGAAAATGTCCCTGCAATGGTGAATGTCAGAGAGCATTTTCTAGAATTTATTGACATTGATGATACTACAGGAGCTGGTATGACAAATGTGCTTCTTAAAAAACTGGAAGATACGGGAATTGTGGTAGCTGACATGAGAGGTCAGGGCTATGATAATGGTGCCAACATGAGAGGAAAGAACAGAGGAGTGCAGACACAGATCCGAGAGTTAAACCCTCGAGCTTTTTTTGTCCCATGCAGTTCTCATTCATTGAACTTACTGGTCAGTGATGCAGCATCAGCTTCTAGTGAGGCTGCTGAATTTTTTAATGTAATTCAAAGCATCGATGTATTTTTCTCTTGGCATCAACTTATTGATGGCAAATTTTGAAGCAACATCTGGGAACATCCTCTCTGATGCTGAAACCACTGAGTGGCACGTGATGGGAAAGTTGAGTGGAGGCGATAAAGCCTATCAAACACCAAATTGGGAAGACAGATGATGCCATAGTTGCCATTATGGAGGATAATGCTAGGACAGGAACTGTTTGTGGGAGAACAGTGGCAGAGGGAAATGGAATCACCAGAAACATACATAACTTCAAATTTCTGTGTGGCTTAGTGATGTGGCATGACTTACTGTTTGAAATAAATGTTGTAAGCAAGAGGCTCCATGGTGTTGACCCTGATATATCTGGAGCAATGGAACAACTGGAGAAAGCAAAGTCATACCTACAGTCTTACCGGCCAGATGAGGGATTTCAAAACAGTCTGAAGAGTGCACAGAAGTTGGTAGAGGAACTTCACACTGAAGCTATTTTCCCACCCATTCAAGAATACAAGAGTCACCAAAGAAGAAGACATTTTGATTACGAGGCACAGGATAATCCCATAAGAGACCCCAAACAACAATTCAAAGTTGAATTCTTTAACCAGGTGCTAGATTGTGCAATACAGTCA